TACCTACCTACCTACCTACCTACCTACCTACCCTCACGCTCATTCTGACCCTCACTCATACTCTGGGAATTTCATGTCTTTTATACTTTTCTTATCGTAATTTCAACATTCGAAAAACCACAGAATTACAATACATACATACATGCTACAAACATACCATACATATTAGTACCTGATATCTTGCTTGACCTTCCAACAAGTTGTCACATACTGATAATTCACTACTTTCCTACCTCTTGTATAATTCATCTCATCTCATCTCATCTCATCAGTCTTCTTCTACTTCTACTTCTACTTCTACTTCTACTTCTGGCTCTTCGTCTAGTTCTACTTCAAGTTTCACATCTAGTCCTACTTCTAGTTCTATTACCACTGCCAACAGATCATTCACTCTTCTTCGTCTCAATTCATCTTAGAAACCATCTTCCTCTTTCTCTCCGTCTACCTCGTCTTCTTTCTCTTCCCATTCCCACTCCTCTTCCTCTCATCTTCTCATCTTCTCCACCTACTTTTGATCCTCACTTTATGGTCCAAAGCACAAAGTAGGTATTCAGTATTTAAGTTAGTACACGAAGCTATTTAAAGTATTTTTTTTGAGTGAAAGATTCCCCACCATCATCTCCGCCACCATCACTTATTTACAACTCCACAATCACATCTACTATTTGTTGAAGCCCATCCATCTCCTTCTAAACTCGACAACTGCGTTTGTTGGACACACCGCAAATCGCAGATGAATTACTTTAACTCGAACTCCTCTCGCTGATCATTCCTCTTTTAATTCCTTTTTAGGTATCAAGTCCAATTTCAATCGTTTTATACCTCGGTATCGCCACACAGCCAGCCACAGCTACTTTGACATCGCGCTCCCTCGAGATACAAACTTCCAAAAAAAAAAAACTTAAGCTTGCCCCAATCGAAAGGGTCATGAGCCGTCCACGATCGCTTTCAAATCCGGTATACTGATGAGGGAAGGAAGGAAGGGGAAGTCTTTCAAACATAATATAACTTGTAATGGCGGGTGTCGATGAATACTCGAGCTTAAGCTCCAGTATGTATTCAAATGGAACTGGTACTTACACCACAGCGACAATATTGAACCTCACGCACTTCAATTATCCATGGGTTCTTCTGGTCGTCTTTCTTATATCATTCATCACACACAGCATTCTAACTGCGGAATCCTCCGATGAAACTGGACCGATGCTCACAGGTCCTGGGGGAAAACCTTTACCGCGGTCTGCTAGGAGGACAAAACAAGATAAGGATAAGCTCAAGCTGCAGGATTTCACTCCGATTCAGAAATTATTATTTCTTTGGCTTTCAGCTGGTATTCTAGTAACATTTCTCGGCAATGCGATCAACATCGTCGTACACGCTCTTGACAAACGGGAGAATGGTTGGTGGTGTGGCGAAGCAACTGCTGTGAGCATTCACTTTTTCGACTTACCATTTTGGATGAAGTAGACACTGATCATTGTTTCATGCAGATATACGTTTGCGCCTCTCTTTTTTTCTATAGTGTCTTTCTCATTTCGTTGGTCGACACAACACCCTCACCTTCGATTGCACATCAGGTTACATGGTTAGTTGCGCTGGTCGGTGAGATTGTACTTCTTGCCGCTTCGCTATCTTTATATACCTCAGCTCACCGGGAACTCAACTCGCTCTTCAACTTCAATCCGGACTTTCACAAATACGCAACTCAATGGGAAATTGTTGAGCTGGTACTCGATGCAATTCGGGTAGTTCTACTTTTCTTCTGTGTAGCTTTTTATTGCATCTTCACTTTAGAACGTTCAATTAAAGGCAAAAATAGAAGTCGGCAGAGCAGCAGTGAGCCTGATGAGAACAGTCCCCTTCTTTTCAACGGCCGAGCGAATGGAAACGGCCATGTCTCTGGAAATGGCTCAATTGCAAATGCGTCAGCTTCCGACTCCTTATCGTTGAATGGGCATGCGACTGCGAATGGTTCTGCAGCACAGGGCGTTGACATTCAAGGAAGACCGATTGGTCAGCAGCGTGTGGACGAAGTGCCTGCGTTCTACAAGCCTACAACAGCTACAACGAAAACTTGGTGGGAGTATTTGAAAGGATACTCACTCTTCTTTCCATACCTCTGGCCAGCTAGATCCGTTCGCTTGCAAATAGTAGTAGTTGTTTGCTTCCTTCTTGTCGTCATGCAGCGAATAGTGAACATCGCGGTTCCTTTGCAAGTCGGAAGGGTTACTGACGCGCTTACTGGCGATGATGATCAAGAAGTTACAATGCCATGGTTGTCCATTTCTCTTCTCATTGCTTTCAAGTTTCTCCAAGGATCTTCTGGAATTCTAGGGGCTGCTAGATCTGTTCTGTGGATTCCAATTTCTCAGTATTCATACAAGGCCTTGACCACAGCCTCGTTTGAGCATGTTCATGGTTTAAGTTTGGATTTCCATCTCGGAAAGCGCACTGGAGAAGTTCTATCAGCACTTAGTAAGGGTAACGCCATCAACAATTTCCTAGAGCAAGTAACCTTCCAGGTTCTTCCAATGATATTCGATCTTGGAGTTGCCATCGGTTATTTTGCATATGCCTTTGACGCATACTACGCTCTCGTGGTTAGCATCATCACCTTTTCCTATCTTTATCTTACCATTCGGATGGCAAGATGGCGATCGGATCAACGTCGACAAATGCAGAATCTCAGTCGCGAGGAGGATGCTGTCAAGAATGACTCTTTAACGTCTTATGAGACTGTTAAATACTTCAACGCTGAAACTTATGAATTTGATCGTTACCGACAAGCGGTTTCGGCATTTCAAAAGATGGAATTCAAAGTGACTATTTCTTTGAATATCCTCAATATCAGTCAAAACTTGGTCTTCATGGCTGGACTTCTTGTAACTTCTTTTATCGCTGCATACCAAGTCACAACTGGTAAACGTCAAGTGGGACAGTTTGTGACTCTCATCACATATATGGGACAACTTCAACAGCCTCTAAATTTCTTTGGTTCTTTCTATCGAGGAGTCCAAAGCGCTATGATCAGTGGCGAACGTCTCCTTGAACTATTCAAAGAAGAGCCGACTGTCATTGATGAGCCAAGTGCGAAGCCACTGCCAGCATGTGAGGGCCGAATCGATTTCAATCATGTTAAATTCTCTTATGATACCCGTAAACCTGCACTGGAGGACTTGAGTTTTACCTGCAAGCCAGGCACCACTACAGCATTTGTTGGAGAGTCCGGAGGAGGAAAGTCCACTGTCTTCCGGCTCCTCTTTCGATTTTACAATACCCAGAATGGCAGTATTCAACTAGATGGTCACGACATTAAAGATGTCACCATAGACTCACTAAGACATCACATTGGTGTTGTGCCACAGGACACAATTCTCTTTAATGAGACTCTTATGTATAACCTCCGGTATGCCAACCAAGACGCGACGGATGAAGATATTTACAATGCCTGTCGAGCTGCTTCGATCCATGACAAGATACTTGCATTTCCGGATGGTTACGATACGAAGGTTGGTGAGCGAGGTCTTCGTCTCAGTGGCGGTGAGAAGCAACGAGTAGCCATAGCACGAACCATCATCAAAAATCCACGAATCATTATGCTTGATGAAGCTACTGCCGCATTAGATTCTGATACTGAACAACACATCCAAGAAGCATTAAAGACCTTGTCCGAAGGCCGTACCATGCTAGTCATTGCGTAAGAATTCCGATTAATTTTTATTCGCATTTCACTAATTTTTATAACTATAGCCATCGATTGTCCACTATTACCAATGCAGATCAAATATTGGTTCTTCATGCTGGACGAGTTGCTGAAGCTGGAACCCATAGTGAACTATTACTCAAGAAAGGTCGATATGCGCAGATGTGGAAGAAGCAAATCAGAGCCGAACGAGCAGCTGAGAAAGCATCCGAGATGGTAGCTAGAGCCAGAGCTCTCAGTGAAGCAGCTTCCATCCAGACTCCTAGTCACTCTGGCAAGGTCAAAGGTGGCAATACGGAAGTGAGCGAATATGAGGCAGATCACGACAGTGACATAAATCTTGTCGCTAAAGTGGAAGCGACAAGAGCTCTTGCTCGTACTCCAGAGAGCCGGATCAATGATGACAGTTCTAGCTCTAAATCTAGTTCTAGTTCAGACACGGATGTCCCCAAATCAGATGAGGAAAAGCAAACTGGAAACGACAAATTTGACGGGAATAAGAGTGCCGACAAAAGTGGCGGTTCGAGGCCACCTCAAGGAAGCAAAGTACATCTAAGTAGGGACACAAAACAATCAATTGACAGATGGCAATCTGATCTTGAGGCCTCAATTTGAATGTCTTTCCAATTGCCTCAAACTAATACGAAGACATTCTTCTACTATATATATTCCTCAACGGCCGCCGTTACAAATTGCATGGACTGGTGGCATAGGGGCTCCTTCCATTTCACTTCAGCGCGAATGGATTGGTGTGCTTCTTATCATTGAGTATCGTTGAGCTTTTTTTGCCCTTGATTAATTCACGGGTTCATTCACAATACCCCCTTACACAACTCGCAAAATTTTGCATTTGCTGTTCAGCTGTTTATAATGCACATGCACATGGCGACGATGATTCACGACTCAAGCATAAATGAAGCATGTTTGGAGGTTAGCGATTGGTTTTTTATTGTTTTTTTATCAACCGGATTATAAATTTGAGCTCGGGAAAGGGCTGGCTTGCGATATGGAGATGAAAACGTGTGAGCTTGGAGCTAATTTGCTGGAAATTCGTGGGTTTTGGTTCGCTTCAAAAAAGAATGGGGGGTGGACAAAATGACACGGAAAATTTGTGCTTTACATAGAAATATTGGAGCAATTCCACACCAAACAAAATAATCGAATGAGAATAAAAGCAGGCAGTTCAAAATTGAAACTTTTAGGTATTGAAAATCGATCATGGAAGCGCACCTTGCATGTAATCAAATCGAGCACGACTAGTGAAAGGTTGTGGGAACATGTCAACTTCGCGCTCTACTATTCTACATTCCTAACCCCGTCTAACATTGTCAACGCATCCGACACCCCTTCCCTCTCCCTTTATCTGTATTCCGGTTTAACGAAATCAGCAAAGGTCTTTGGCTCTTCGTAGTTGTGGTGTCCATCATCGTGGTGATCGTGGTGGTGGTCGTGAGCATCTTCTTGTGGACCAACATATTCCATCTTCAAAACGTTTCCGCACTCTGGGCAACGCTCGACGGGGCGGTCGCGGGACATCTGGGGAAGAGTTAGTACTGGAAGGTGGGATGCGGAAACAAGAGTGAAAGGTTTGTCAGACGTACTGTAAGCCAGATAGTAACATGCGAGTCAACTGGGTATCCAGTGCAACCGGCATATTGTTCGTCACCGAAAGACTTGACAATGATTGGGTTGTCCAACGTGCCTATACATCCCTCATCGATTAGCAAATTCCTTCTGTTTTAATTCCATCCGTTCCGCTTATCTCACTTCCCAAACCTCATACACGACAATCCAAGCCCAACATTCCTCCTAAGAGACCCACGCAAGCGTACCTTTTCGGGAAGCATCCAAAGGCTTCATATCAAAAATATCAACTCCCTGCATCTTTCCCAAGATCTCAAGACGCTCGAGACCAGTCGCTTGGTCGAGATCGGTAGGGACGGTTCCTGGCGCGGCACCGGGTCCCATGAGATCGGCTTCGGTCTTGATTTCTACACGTGGTGCGCATTATATATCAGTCCATTTGTCCCCATCTCTCCTTCCCCATTTTCCCGCGCCCCGGCTTTGCGAATAAACACACCTTCGAACTTCTTAATCTTTCTGTCGCTCGATCCGGCCGGTGGTGCGGCTTCTCCTAAGCATAACAATTAGTCCATGAGTCTCTCAAACCATCCTCTCGCAGTCTATCTTTTTCTCAAGCTTCAAACCCAGGATCTTCGGTACCCGAGGTCGAATAGTTTTCGGGATACGACAAACGAGGATTAACATACTTCTGATGATACTAGACGAGAAGCTGCGTCTCACGACGGGAGAGACGGCTGCTCTGCGAGCAGCAGCAATGGCTGAGCGTTGGAGAAACATGGCGGGTGTGTCAATTGAAGATGCGGTAGTGGTACGATTTGTAGGTATTTTTGGAGATTTCGTGATGTTGCTTGGAATGAGCCGCTAGTGGGTGTGATTAGTAAGCTAGGCTATTGATACACAAATGAGATGAGAGGTATTGAGGATCACGTGTGTGGTGTGATCAAATGGGAAGGTGGGGATTGGTGGTGATGTGCGGCTTGGACTGGTTTTTTAGATGTTTGGGATGAGATTTTGAAATGCTGTGTAAAATCAACCAGCCATGACTTTTGGTTTGGTTTGCTAATGGAAGATTGTTTTTTCTCTTCAGTTCACACTTTTTCTTTTGCAGATTAAAGAAGTTCCAGATAGTCTATGGAATTGCTTCCCAATGCTGAAAAGCAGTCTCTGAGGACTGAGGGGTCGGTGAGGCGAACTCATCTAGTTTTTCATTTATATTCATTGTAAGATCTTTTAGCCAAGTTAATATTGGCAGTTGTCTTTTTTTTGTTACTTTCATTCGATGACACGATTCTCCGGAGTTGCATCGTCATCTAGAAGCTCTTGAGCGTTGTAAGTACTCTACCTAAAGTCCATCAATGGAGTTAGTCAATATTTTTCAGAATCTCTGACATTCTACACCATCAACGATCTTGATAAATCTCATTTTGCTCTAAAGGAGAAGTCTAGGAGGTCATCTTTTGATAGAGGTTCTCCAAAGTATCAATAGTTCAATACTTCAAATGCACTCTCTTCACAAAATCTTACAAAATCTCTCAACCCTTCATTGTATTTTAATTATTTTTCTTGAAACGATGAGCAGAGAAAATAGTTGTTTTCCTTCCATCAAATATAACAAATCGTTTCCTCCTATTTCTTTCTGGCTAAATGGCCGCAGTCCTGAAGAGCAATATATTCGGAATCAAATATGTGATATGAGTTATGTTCGGTTTTTGGTGAAAGTAGCTCTTCAGGTTCCTATCACCTCCTCCACGAGCAACATTTCCAGTTGTTATTATACGTACCTAGTATTTCAGATAAAAAGCATAGTCTACACGATCAGATACAAGTGGATCAAAGAGGACCACTCTCATAAGATCTTTGCTAGGTAGAAACAGCAGATTGCTGACCGTACGTTCGCCATTCAATACAACAGATGGCTACGGAAATTCTCCAACTCATAAATACGTTTAGTTGTCATGAGCCATTTGAGAAGAACACTGTCAATCTATAGGGTGCTGCTCTAGTTAAATGGCTGCAAAATGAAAAGATCATATAGAAGTGCGGATGTATGCACTCACCCATACCACTTCAAATCGCCCGTTATCTGATCTATGCCTGAATAATCGTGCTCAGATGAAGAGACACTAACCGTAGGCTTGTGATCTATACCCACACAGAAATCTGTTGAGGACTTCTGCCGCGCAGAAGGTCGTTCACGAATTCAGTGCATCTACTTGGAAGTACCTGATTTTAGATTCTAAGTTCCCACTTCCTGGCTCTTGGTTGCCTATGTTCTCACCTGGTGGCTACACAATACTCAAAGCAAAATAGTAGTGATTGAAGGATCGAAAAGTCTCCTCTCCCCTTCCTTCATCACTCATGCTCTGCTAGTGGCTGATTAGGCACGAGTAACATACTAAGTATGCTTGATCTAAGCACATGGCTAGCATCACAAAACACTTAGTCTAGTGGGTTTCACAAGATCATCCCCTCGTCCACCCTGACATAGAATCATAAGATACATTACTATTCATCTTGACAACCACTTAGTTAGCTGAAGAACGGGATTTTCCAGACATGAACTCGATTCTGAACCACATGATCGTTAATATCTTCAAGGTAACGCTACAATCAAGAGCTACTCATTGACTAATCACTTCTTTCCTCACTTATCAAGATCCATGGTAGACAAAATCATCACCAGTCACCCCACCACTCCATTTCGAGCCTTGAATTGGAATAAAAGAGACTCAATATGAAAAGGATTGACGACCCTGGAAGGAAAATTACAGTGAGAGTAACACGATCATTCATTATTATACACCAAAAAATACTTACATAGAAGGATTCTTCTAGGGTTACGACTTACACTATGCATGCATACAGCCTAAAAATGCCGCAATATCCAGGATCTAGGGCTTACGGTCGCATTCGGTCACAACATGTCCCTGGATAGCTTTGGAAGCCTGAATTCGAAAATTTGTATTGGGCGCATTTACCAAACAAGTTCTCCAATAGTGAGTAATAGAGGACAAATGATCATAACCCTCACTAATAGGATTCAGAGGCTCCATTATCCCCTGAAGATAGCAACTAAGATATGTCAGCTCAAGATTCGAGAAGAATCGTAGATTTCCCGGATGTAACCAAAATCAAGCTATCGGCAACAATGGCGTGTGTATTGTTAATTTAGTTGGGGTTATTGCATGCCCATATCTACTCTTATTTATCTCCCCTGCAACCTTGTCAGAAATACGGTATTCTCATTTGCTACCGGAACACGGCAGGGATTCAAATACATGACGGCCATGTGGGATTTAGAGCCACGCTCCATAATATCGCCACACGCCTGCATACTTCTAAATATTGGATCGTTTATTGGAATATTAGCAAAGGCTACCCAAGACTGTTCTTCTTTGTACAAGCACAAGTACAGGTATAAGTTCCGGGCTCAAGACTTCAAATTTTTATTTGGTTGTATAGTAGTCGTATTTTGGGGTCGAGAGATATCTCCAAGCCTCATTCGAAATCCTCTTCGCCGACTTCATCACCCAAGTCACAACTTTTCTCGTGGCAAGCTTATCTCAACTCGAGACCAGTGACTTGTCATTGTGGGGAACGCTCGATGTACCACAACTACCTCTCTATAAATTAACAAACGTGTGTTCTCTAAATGTCATCTTGGCTGTTTACCGAGACTAATGCCAGTATTCTAGGCGCCACAAACATCGCTGCAGAACACTTGTGGAGCAATTCCAAATACGGGACGTACCGTATACTATGACTAGGCCATACGTAGAGGATATATAGCTCCCGGCGGAATGAGCAAAAGGTACATTGAGACAGATACCCCTACTCACATAGCAAGGATTGTTTGCTAATGCGATAGTACAATAGCGTCATCCTCATTAACGGGCAGTTTTCTGTGTCACTTTTTGATGCCTCTTGTACAGCCAACTTCTGGCTTTCTAAGTTTCATTTTCACCCGGGTAAGACGCACCGGCTTCGTCTTATAAATCCAGGTACAAAAGAAAACGAGAAATTCAATATCGATAGGTATGCATTGACAGTTATTGCTGTTGATTTCATTCCAGTTGTACCATATGACATGAATGTGTTAACTGTAGAAGTTGGACAGCGCACAGACGTGACACTTAAAGCTATTGGCAAGATAGGATCATCATATTGGATGCATTCCAACTTTAGCCAACTGTGTGTATCTAACCCCAGTCTATAGCCGAACGCTCTAGCTGTGGTATTGTACGACGGCGCCAATCCAAGCAGTAGGCCCAAGTCCACACCATTTCCTTATAATGAAACGAATTGCTTGAATGTAAGCGGCCCACTCTTAAGACAATGCATGAAAGTACCATCTCTAACCAGACATTCAAGATCCCCTTGATACAACTACACCCCATATGTCAAGAGTACTCCGCCAGTCACACCACAAGTCACCCAAACGATAGACATAAATTATGTTATCAATGCCTCCGGCATGTTTCTATTCACATTCGGTGGCAGCTCTTTCCGGGCGGGTTATTCTAACCCTAGCCCCAGCGGAACCACAAAAGTTGCATACTGCGATTCTAGTAGGGAAAATTGTATTGAATTATAGCCTGAGATTGAGAGTATAGGATTTCATTGTATAAATTATTTCACCTCTGAATATATACAGCGGGTAAAGTCGAGCTTATTGTCCTTCCTCTTTGGAGAAGAAGTTTTGGTAGTGGCCGATGCAGTAATTCAACGTTGAGAACATCTACTTTTTTTCAGTACAGCATGACGTCAGAAATTGTGCTCAGGTCCAATAGAAGTTAGAGCGTTGTCGGATATCAGAAGGTGACAGGACAATTTGTCCCAAAAAAGACTCAATACTGCTCCCATGATGCTCTACAATTGTGTTCAACAATGTGCTTTTACATGTAATCTCAGGTCTGAATAAGATAAGCCCTAGATTGTCCCGCCTGCTACTCATATTCTACCGCGGTTTGTCCATGTCTTCCTCGTTGTTAAACAAAGTATAAAGTAAACTCTCAATATTGTTTGCTATAGGGTTTATTCAATATAGAGGAGGTTTCACAATACTTGTTAGATATATGACCGCCTAAGATGCACGAGTATTCTCGTAGTTTTTGAATATAATTGGACTACCATTCATAGATATACTGAGGTAATAAGCTTCTATATATATGTATGCTCCGGTATAACATCATGGAGCTATTCGCCACAATGCTTCGCCAGTAACTTCCGTTAGATGGTATGGCTCGTAAGTACCTTGTGGGCGCATTCTAGATATCTATGGTGATACACATGAACTTGAGGCCCATGTTTGACATCAGCAGTACCCAGCATCCCTTAATCGTTTCAAACATGTATGAGTTGTTATTTCATATCATCGGGTAGGCTTTTCGCACCAACTATAATCTATGAATTTTCCCGTCATGGTATACTAAACGATATGGTACTTCCACGAAACCGCTCTGAGCCTCCAAATTTGATTCAACACATTTCTCAACTTTTGTTGAACACTAGTGAAAGTATGCACCAGACTTGTGGAACATCACCCTACAATCCCCCTTTATATAATGTACTTCCTTGCGTGGTCATCACTCTGACCTCTCATATGAGAATACTTTGTGGCGGCGCGGGTTTTGCTTCTCTCTTCTTTCAAACGGGATAAGGATCTTATAGTGTCCTTATTAGCTTCAGGAGATCTGTCCCTTCTCTTCTACCCGGTCTTGACCCAGAATTTAATCCACTTGGTTATAAGATATTTGAAGTTTATGCAGATGTATATATGGGCGCCAATCTTACTCCTGAGTTGATTCAGAAACTAAGCGAAATAATTCCCAGCTCTTTTGCATTATTTATTGCATAAGCATCTTGCCTTTTGCTAGCGATGCTACTACTGCCTCTCTAAGAGTGCTACAACTACGCTTCCCAACATATGCTTTCTTTGCCAGTACCTATGCTGTTACTATCCGTTTGGATGTCGAGTTGGACATTCATGACTGTCTGAATTCACACTACACCATCGATAACCTGATTTTCAAAGATTACACGACCTTCATCTTTGGCAGTCCACAACTATCGTTGCGTTTTGTGCCTCTCGAAAGTTGCCACTCTCACCATCCAAATCTTTTTTTACCCACGAATCAACCATATCCCAACTCCTTGACACTGGACTTGATAAAGATCACATGAGGGGAGGAACAGATATATTGACGTCTCAATTGAAAAATAAAAATCCTGCGGTACAGGTGCACTCTCGATGTCTATAGCTAATTATCCACAGTGATGTAGAGTTACGAGGCCGTATGTAGATATTCTCTCTATTTTCACAGTAGGCACTTGAGCCGTACTAGGTTCTTGGAAGTCAGAAAGTCAACGGATCCTGTTTGCAAGCAATGACGTAGAAGTGCCACTATTCTGTATCTATTCAGACTTTACATATTCTTGTACCTTGATTTCGTAATCATCAACAATAATAAAAGACTAAATATAAGCCATGATATAGATACTGAAAATATACTCCAATGATATACCCGCTGTTACCATCATCATTGCGTAGTTTGCCTTATCTCCAGTATAGTTTGATTCATACATCGTTCTCGATATCTTGATAGGAAGTATTAAATATCATTCCATGAGACTCAAATCAAAAATCTGGAAGACTTTATATAATCGGATAGTTGATTCTCAATCATCTTAAACGGTTTCTTCTCGGTGGTTATCATGTTCCTCAGGATTCGCTTGCAAGAAATGCATCGAACTTCTACCTTCTAGCTCCATTTTCGTTCAAGGTTGTCGTGACTTGCAGTACAATACAGTACGGTTGTTTCGAAACATTCAGTGGTGAGTGATTGATTTTGATAGGAATTGTGCGATTTCTTGATCTAAGTTTGAGATTAGCGTAAATCAATACAGCTCATCTTGTATGAACAACTTACTTACTAGCCTGAATAGTTCAAACTAGTAAAGGTTTGTTTTTATAAATTCAGAAAGAAAGTTGTAATCATCAGGTGACCTCTAGACAACTTTTTTGGATACCATACTTCTTCGACGCTAAGTGTTCATTATTCTTACTACTGTTAGGTAAGTCTTGTATATTCAACAATGATATTCGTGGCTGAACAAATTCAAACAAACAAATCTCAAACCCATTCTATCAAAACAACCTTATTGTCTTGTATTTGATTTGACTTATTACGATACCATGTTTACCAATACTTCTAAGTCATCGAATTCGAATCTAATTTTAGAGATTCAAAATCCAAATCAGGAATATCAACCTGATAACGACGAGATGGTTAACGTTAATGAACTGAATGCAGAGCAACGTCAAGAACTTGCTCAACTTCGTCAAGAACTCATCGCAGCTCGCGTACAAGCTGCTACACTCGAGGAAAGACTCATTCATAAAGATATCCAAATCCAGGCTCGAGATGCTCAAATCCAGGCACGAGATGCTCAAATCCAGGCACGAGATGCTCAAATCCAAAAGCTCGAGAGACATATTCAAAGCATGTACATTCTATCACCAGGATTTGTTTTGTTCCTATTAGCGATTGTTTTGTTTAGGAAAAATTAATTCGCTGCGCGTAAGTTTTTCAAAAAATAAGTGGTGTCAAATTTCTAACATCATTTCAGAATTAATTTCAACCTGTATCCTTCAAAAATTGAGTTCATTACTTTTTCCCCAAAATAAGTGATCATTCAAGGATTCTTTACAAGGGGAGTCTATGAATGGATATAAGAAGGGTATTATATTTAAGAAAGATAACTTTGTCTTTTTTGATTTAGGGAAAGCTCGAGAGAATCTCAGAAGTCGCTTGACACGATTAGCTTGTCTCAAGCTTGTGTCACGGATAGATGTCATCATGCCTTAGGCATCAACGTCTCATATGGTCGACGCTCTTGTTTTTGTTCCTCCTCTCGAGCTCTTAGTAGAACATCATATATCCTACCTCGATCCTATTCCTTGTAATGTGATGATATTTTTAATTCAGTTGGCTATTGAAACTATTTATGTGAATGATTTAAAATGCTTGCGAGGCGAATATCATATGCCTGGACAGCCCCGAAGAAAATGAATCGTGTTATAAACAGTCCAGCGAAAGGCCTTGCTTGGTCTGAAAATCGAAAAATAATACATCAAGATGGAAACTTTCGCGCAAAGGATTATTTCTCATTCTTGAATGAAGACTTCAGAATTCAAATGTAGAGATCCTTCATCTCAAATCCTTCGCCATGGTTTCAAAAAAGCCCTCTTCAAAGGCTGATGGAGGGTGGTAGTTGGACATACAAGTTTGGGAATTCGTGAAACCGTAAGATCCGGTAATTATGAATGTATCTAGGTAGAAAGGAAAGATACGATATTGATTCATGAAGTCCTACTATAGTATAGATGAACTACCGAGGTGAGGAAGAGCAGATTTTAAGCGCCAATTTTGACCAGGGCGGGCTATTTCCAGGTTCAACTATGCGAGGACGGCACCAACAAGGTAGCAATGTGATAGGATTCGACTGACTTGGACGTAGATGAGTTCAAATACTGAGGACTGCGATTGAGTGTTTCATTTGTTTAATCTCCACTCCCAATATCTGCAATTTTGTAAGGAAGCACGATGCAATTGTTCATATCGAATTTGTTTGAATCTCCGGTTTCCCGACCAAGCACTTTTGAGAACCTACATAGGCACAATTTTTTTAACATCTTTTTCTACTTGAAAAATACTTGAAAGTGTGGTCTGAGAGTTCCGGATGTATTCGAAGGTGTCAAGAGACAGAGGTCTGTCTGCACTTGTTCAAGGCTCAATGCTCAATCCCATTCCCGCTCCCCCTTTATAGGCGAAACCCCGGCAATTAAATCAGTTAATTAAAACCACATATCTGGAACAAGTGCATTTCAATATTTCCTCACAATATCAACTTTTATGTTATATAACATTTAAAACCCTTATATATACGGATTTTCTCAAACAACATTTCAAATTAATGATTGCTCAATTTGATATCGAACACTAAAAAGAGCGAAACGTTTTTGATCGTTTGGATTTTCTGTCCTGTCCCCCATGTATCATTCTAGCCAGTAAAACTTCCAGAAATGATCTACATGGATCGTTGAATAACAGATAAAAATCTGACATAAGATTTCTCAATTTATCCTTCTACTAGGGTCTCGTAAATATCAAATTATTCGACGTCGGCTTGAGAAAGCATCGTTTAGTTTTTTTGGAGTAATTCCTCGAAAGTTGTGTCAAGCTTTTAGGAAAGAACTTTTTATGTATATCATTCTCCGATTTTAAATGTGGTCTTATTCATGTCCACCTTCATGATATGGTCAATGGATAAGGAAAGTAAAGCGGTTAAAACTGCCTCTTAAGAAGATTCAATAGAATTGGAATGATTAATATAAATAATCAAGTGCTGTTGTTCAGCATCAAATCTACTTTTAGTATAGATATGTGAGCGGGGAAGCACGAATAAAAATGCTTCTTTTTTTCAAAGGTGAGTTGGACCGAATACCAGAAAGCACTAAAATGGGTTCCGAAGTTTGTGAATTTCAAATCTGGATAGAAGGATTAGGAGCATTCGATTGTAAAAATCAGTTCATCCTCTAAGCGTATGTAAGCGGCAATAGAAATTCGGTATGGCAACTCAAAATGAGACACAATCATATGCTCCAGAGACTATCTCGTTCCTTCACCAAAACATGTGCTGCAAAGAATCTGCCTGGACAGGAGTATTTTCCATGACCAAAATGCATGTTGTTCTTATCAGTCATGGCGAATTAATGAAGGTTGCTTTGTCCTGGCTTTTGCCTCTCGTGATCAAAGCGAAAGCCCTGAAAAACACCAGGATCGAGAGTTACAGACTCGAGAGTAATCGGCACGACAGGTACTACCATATGAACGCTCTTTGGAAGTATTGTGCCATCGGAAAGGTTTATATCTTCCATTGCAGCATGTTTGAAACCAACTAACCGCGTTAGAAGCGTGTCTGCATAAAGCAACTACAAAAAACTTACTAAGACTGGGACCGTTTAGTCGTTGTGACTCTTTCATAAAACTGTCAAGTTCCCTCATTTTTGTGAGCGTCGTCTTCTGCCAACCGCCATCCTCCTTTAGAGCCTGCAAGATCTATTCTCGAAGTGATTCGAGGTATTCTGGATGAGCAATTATGTCATAAAGAATCTGAGTTGCCGTCATAGAAGTTGTATGAACAGACGCCAACGCCAAAACAAGTAGTCTATGAACTAGCTCTGCCGGTTGCCCATCCCGCTCGTTCCATGCCTCATCAATCAACCATTGCAGAAAATCATCTGGTGGGTTGTAATCTAGATCGTTGACTGTTTCCATTCGCCTGCGCTCTTCCACAATAAGTGTGATTAGTCTTTGCGCGTTGTGAAGATTCCGAGAGACGGCCCAAGTAGCGGGCGTGGGATATGGTGATGCGTTTGAGGTAGGGCGGAATGTCTCTCATTTGAATTGCAACTCGGAAGACGTTCTCCGGAAAGATTCTTTGGATTCCCATCCATTCCTTGTTGCACTTCAAGGAGGCAACTGATATTCGTGCAAAATCATGCACAACCAACCTTACTACGGTGTCAAACCCAAGTATGGAAACCCATTTATCTGGAAAGCGTTAGTTTATGATAGCTGCCGAAGTAAAAGTGGTTTGTAGAAGCCGAACCTTTGCACGGAGGTATCTCTTGCATTAATGCCCATTTCATTTCTTCATATATCAAAGGCACAAAGAGACCAAGCTTAGAGGCAAATCGAGTATGAATGGCATGAGTGTGAAGGTTACCACGCAGTAATATATCGACAGTGTTATAGTTGCCTTGAAAATTCTACATACAGGTCAGTACAAGGCTTTCAAAAGTTGAAAGCGGTGTAATATTCAAAGAGAATTTAACATTTCATACTATTTGAATCATCTAATTGGATCTAGACAGTGAAAACTTGTGATTGTTGTTGGACTGCAATTCAGACTACTAAAACCTCCCTGGGTGACTTGCCTCAATATTTGCAACCATGGAGCTGGGTTTTTCTTCCGGAATGGCTCGAAGCTCATTGACGTACTTGTTAGGCACAACTAACATATCGTTCCCATTTATTTTGAAAAATTGATCTTTGTACTAAGTACTTATCAGAACAATGATTCATAGAGTCATCGATGCAGCAGTGAAGGCTTTACCTGATGATATCTTCTTGAAGGAGGTCTATTGCATTGTTGAGATACTGAACCCTCGCGGGTTAGGCCTACCTCAGGCCAACAATAGGAGCTTTCACTGCAGCATTGCCATGGGGAAAGGATACAGCCCTGAGCCACGAACCTAATAGAATGGCACAGATTGCGACCAGTGCCAGTACCGGTTTTGTTGTTGAAGCCTCTCCATAACCCCTAAACTCTATGAGGGCCATTTTAATCGAAATCGTCAACTCTCTGATCGGTCTGTATCTCAGGAAGTCCAGTAATTCCACTCAATAGCATATAAATGAATCTTCACCTCTAATGCCCTTCCCCGCACTTTCTACATTTCTTAGCTAACAATATCTTCGATCCTAAGGTTCCCATTCTTACTGTCCCAATCTAGCACTTGCTCCATAGCTTTGCTGCCAATGCACGAATCCTTCGCAATATGATATAATGAGGCACAAATAAGACATGTACATATGCATTCATCTTCTGCGGTGACAGTAGCATCTGTATGCGCGGCTAACAAGGATACTTCCAGGTTCTCATGAATCGAAATTGTCATGTGTCGGTGTTATTTGGATATGTACTCCGTTTGCTAACTCAATTACTCACCTGGCCTAGTGTGCATACCTGGTTCGTATAGAAGTTTGATGGCTTCGCGGGGACAAAAAAGCAATACAAAGAACATACTTAAATAAAAATTATACGTCGAAAATACTCACATTTCTATACTTATATACTCATATCAATTTGTGTCGTAATATTTTGACTTAGTACAAAATATTGAAAACACCGTAGATACCGTAGACACAGCAGAGTTCGGTAAATGGTCTTAGTAATACATATAACGTCATCATAACGTATCTCCATCACGGAGTATTTTGCAAGATCCGATTGGCTAAAACGAAATACATGAATCTTACAACCAAAAGCCTCCTTGCTAGTGCTCACCTTGTACAGTATGAAAGACATGATCATTTTCAATTGCAGCAAATTGAATTTTTAGTGGATTACAGACGTGGATATTAACGAACTTGCGAGCGATCAAGGGATACATGGACCCAAAATTACCCAATGTTGTATTCTACGAATTCTGTTGGACCGCAACCCCAACACTTTCCAACATGCTTTCAACTTGGTACTACCTACTAGAAATGGAATAGACAGAAAGTAGCGGTGTCTATAGAAACAAAAAGCCCAAAATGATTGCGGTCACACCTCAAGTGAGCTGCCAGTACTTTCACTGACTTCTCTTACCCTGTACAATCACCAGTCTAGAGATCATGGAATACAATCCAACAGGCGCGCCGAGAGCTTCTAGTGCCGTCAAAGATAACAGTCAAGTGGTTATGATGACAGCCGATGAAGAGAAAGCAGCAGCAACAATGCCTACGGGAGATGGAAAACAGGACCACGATGCAAAACTCGAGACCGGACCAGGTCAGCTTGTGAAATTGCCAGAAAGACAAAGAACTGTACATGGCATCAAAGTATTGACAAGTCATTTCCTTCAAGCTGACCCTATGGTCATGCCTAAACAATAGTGCGGGGATTGACGAGAGTATGCCTTTTAGTGGGTCCTGTTGGTTGTCGCCATTCTCTCGAATCTTTGCTTCTATGCCATTGATAATACAATTGTAGCTGTGATTCAACCTGTATCTCCTGCTAAAGCGAACAAGTACCGTGTGCCAAACTTACACCATATCGTGTAGGTCATCGTCAAATATTTCGGTGAAGTTCAAAATTGACCATGGATTTCCGTGGGGTAACATGAGTCCTTTGCAACCTTCAAAGATGAGCTATCTAACTGTTTTTTTCTTGGAGTTCTTTGATGGCTGGAACAGCCACGGGGTTAGTTAATGGGAAGCTCTTTGCGTCCTTCAACGCCAAGATCTTGTACATAGCGGTTTGCATCTTGACGATGACGCTCTTCCACTATAAAATTCTGACAATGGAAGTTCTCGTTACCTTTCGTCGTCAGTTCCATCATGTGTGATGCAGCTCCAAATATGACAGCACTGATTTTTGGTCGTGTGATAGGTGGAGTTGGTGTATGTAACAAATTATTCTCCTACTAGCCATCACTAACCACTTGACCAGGGCACTGAAATGTGTCTTGGAGCTCTCACGTTGATATCGGTGATCACCAGTCCTAAGGAAACAACAGAATACATGGGATATCTGTAGGTACTTCTAGAGATGCTTTTAATGTCAACTAACGATTCGTGAGGTGCTTTGGTTTGGGGATTTGGATCTGTTATTGGACCCCTGATTGGAGGTACCTTTACGGACAGTTCTGCAACTTGGAGATGGGCAGGTTTCGTTGATGAGACTTTCTACTAGTCTCACATTATCTAGGGATTCTATATCAACGCACCCGTGATTTGCATTTTTATTCCGGTGCAAATCTTCATAATACCATCGTACACTCCTCGTCCAACAGAATCCTTTCTTCCCAAGATTCAAACCATAGATTGGGTAGGCAGCCTATTTAGCTGCAGTGCTTTCGTTCTTGGTATCATAGCTATCAATTTTGGAGGCACACTATATCCTTGGCACAGCTGGCAAACCATTGTTTTGTTTGTAGTTTCCGGTGTATTATTCGTCGCCCTCTTCCTCCAGCAATACTTCAACTTCTTGACTACTCAGGCGCTTTGTGTGCTACCGATACATCTTTTCAAGACAAAGGACATGATCATATGCTTCGTGTGCCAAGGTAAGCAAAATTTAGATATACTCTGGACAATCACTTACACCTCGTAGTTGCCGTTGCATTTATAATACCTGTTCCGTTATACTATATCCAGGTTTTCTTCCAGTCAGCCAAGATATACTGTAAACTCTCACCTCTAATCTTGTATATTTCCACTAATGTTATTACTTGCAAAGGGAGATTCTGCTCTCCGAGCCGGAGTCAAAACACGTCCTTTAACATGCTTCTGGGTGACCTCTAGTGCCATTCGTGGACGTCTTATGGGGAAGCTAGGATGGTATCAGCCATGGTATATAGCCGGAAGCATTTTGAGCATTCTCGCTGGTGTCTTTCTGAGTATGATTTGTTCTAATTTCTTCTCTTGATATATACATGAAAGCCATATTGACTTGACTTGTATGTTAGGTCGTATCAACATCACCACATCCGATGCTGTCATATACGGACTTCAAGTCTTATCTGGAGTAGGAACGGGCTGCTATGGCCAAGCAGGTTTTGCAGTAGCACAACGTCTAGTACCTCCGGCCGATTTTCATCGCGCAATATCCCTCATGTTGATTGGTACGAGAATTCTCTCATTGCTGACCAGTTGTGCTGATTACCCTTTCAATATAGCGCAACTCATTGGAACCACACTTGGTCTTGCGATTGCTGGAGCCATATTTCAGAATTTTTCACTACCTCGGGCGCGGCAAGTAGTGCCATGCTTCTCAGCTTCGCAATTGAGTAATCTAATCACAAAAATTGGCGGTGGTCTTGATGATCAAGTGAATGAAGTGCAGACTAAGGAGGTTCTCACCATCATTGTTGATGCTCTGACAGATACGTGAGTGTAATTTTGCTTTTGTTTGATCAAATTCGAAGCTAAAACCATTTAGATATATCCTCATTTACGCAGCAGCAACTCTGTCCCTGGTACTCTCAATATTCTTCACCGTATGTTTGCCTCATATCCATCGGATACTTTCTACATGTTCGCAGTCTGTCCTTTTGCTAATGACTGCACTGTAGCCCAAGAAGCTTTGGTAGATCGAAGAAGTGTACATGGTAATTTTCAGGCCATTTTCACATCTTCTTGGTGAATTTCGGGGTGTGCTAGCTTACCAGGATGCTCAGGTAAAAGAGTGTTGAGGGAAAACCATCACATGCCCAAAGACTCCTTTTAAAAGTCTCTTTTTGTTCTGATATTGTGTGGCGTTCAAAATTATAAAGACTCATTTCCTCCAATTATTTCCCTCGATATTTACTTTGTTCTTTCACCCATTATTCCATTTGTAATAGCCATAGAATAATATAATTACATGCCTTTCAGTTTTTCCTTCTCAAAATAATTTGCTGACTCAAACTGACTTGATTCTTTTCGCCTTTGACTACATTCTGTGGGCGTTCCGTTTGCCCCTCCGGATAGCTAATCTCAAACTCGTTCAAGAGAATCATCAGCAATAATTTGATTTGAGCACTAGCCCAGAAACGACCCGGGCAAGCAAACTTTCCTACGCCCCAAGACGGATTCTCTGAGCTTAAAGAAGAGAATTGGTGTCGCTCCTCTTGACCTGGCTCTTGCCGTTGTGTGTAAAATCTTAAATGGTCAAATGTGTTTGGAGAGGGGTATAGCTCGGGGTCTTTGTTGATGAGGTAATGGGTCATCGAGATATATGTGTTTTTGGGCAGAGTAACTCCATTTGAGAGCGTTACAGGTACTGCAAGTTTACGATTGAAAGTCACTGGACAAGAAACACGTGTTAGACATTGTGACTTCTATAGTTGTGTTGGAGGTCGTACTTAAGCCAAGAGTATTTACGCGATGTGATTCCTTTATGAAACTATCCATCTTCTTAAGAGACGATAACGTCCGAATAGTGACATCGGCTTCTTCAGCTTCTTCGGTTACCATTGACAATTCCTCCTTCAAAGTTTTGAGGTCTTCCGGTCTAGCACAGAGATCTAGTATGGCGTTTGTCGCGACCTCTGCCGTTGTATGTATCGCAGCTGCGTTGAGAAAAAGCATTCGTGTTACTAGCTTGTCTATTTCTGCATCAGGTCCACGAGCAGACTCGATTAGCCATTGTACCATATCCGGATGCTCTTTCGAGGTAGTTGACCTGCGCTCCAGTATGAGTGGAAGTAGAAGCTTGCGGGCCACAGAAAACCGATTGCGGATCTGTTTGTAGGATTTAAGAAAAGGAGCAATGATAGGGTGGAGAAGTCTATAGTGCTTCTTGAGATCGGTTGCTACATTTCCGGAGCTATAAATAACATTAATTAGTAGGCAAGCGAGAAAGATGATATTCAACTCACTCTATAGTATAGCCGGTTGCGGTAGCCAACCATTCTGGATCTCTACATAGGTCGGGTCCAACAAAAGCACGAGCACTAGCGCTGGTAATAAGTTCAATAGCGAGACGAAACAGCGGAAAGCTATAATTGCCTGGCAATCTGTCAATCAAGTTGACCACTGGGTATGTTATATATATAACTCTACGCACCATCTTTGCTCTCGGTCTTTTCGAGTTTCGAGTTTATTCTAAATAATATCTCATCGTATGTAGGCTGTGCAAGACGTCCTTTCAATTGTAAGCGAGTTATACATAAATTAATGAGATCTAGCATCCAATACCTATATTTTGAGAAAGTTGCCCTGCACAAACAAGGAACTGCAGGTCGCTTTCCTCCGCAATATCGAAGCCAGTATACGGACCAGCATGTCGAACCGATGCAGTGAGACGCACTTGTTTTCTTGGAAGAACACTGAAATCTTTCATGAACTTTCGAGAAACAATGACTCGATCCATATCTGTCGTCCATAATGAATACACAGAATCTTTGTACTATTCACATGTCAGAAACATAGATGAAAATAACACTCAAAGGATTAGCCTATACCTTTGAATACCCCTCTTCAATGAGTTCCAAGCTATGTTTGAAGAAATGGCTATCGGATGTGTTGCCCAAGAGTCCTGGTTTCTTGCCGATGCGAGGTATCTGACCTTGTTGCTTTGTGGGTCGAATGACGAGTAAATACAATGAAGTAAAGGTCGTGACCAAAGTGGCCACTAAAATCATCGACAGCATCTTTTCTCTTTTCTATCAATAGAAGGATTTAAGCCATCTCACAAACAACAGAGTCAGAAGTCAAAAGCTTAAGGTGCTGGAGTGTTGGTGTACCGAAAGGTTACATTGAGATTCAGGGGTGTCCATATCGATCGATACTTTAGGCACACCATGGAACGCGTGCCGAAAGCCCGCACTACTCCTGAAACCAACAATTGGACTTTCCTCGTTCTCAATCATCGATTTGCTTAGTAAATCTGTGCCTCCGGCATACATGAAGGACATATACCTATGTAGTGCGAATCACGCCAAATTATGTTTTACACGGCAAAGCTCTCGTCTTACTCACAGTTTTTTTCTTTCGCATTTCACCCGATTCTTCATCCACTCCACCTGTCACCTGTCGTTCTCGATTGCAACCATACGAGAGTGATAGGAGAGCTTGCCATGAGGATAATTGCAATGAAAGAAAGTAGTAAGCCTTATCATACCCATAGCCTTGTAAACCTTCCCCCGCAAGTTGCCACAGTCGAGGATCAACTGCCCCGCTCCGGCGTTCTGGGGTTTGCAACCAACATGCCTCGATTGTGCAAAAACGCTCTTGGCTATCTTCAAGGAGCTTTTGCCATTTATAGTGTCTATTTCCCATGAGATCGGAAATCATCGCTGGTCTAAACTTATCAGGGTACATTTGTAACGGGTAAGCCGACCGTGGTCTCAAAACAAAGATGATTGTCAGCAGGTCACCAGTGTACATGCAATGGGACTTGATATAGAGGACTTCTGGATGTGCCCCTTCCGGTGTGCATTGTTTTACCTTGCTTCAATCAATTTCCTACATACTTTGTGTAGCTTCTTTCTCCCGTTCTAAACAGAACAAATGGATCACTTGGATGTATTAGAACCCAAGTTTCTAGTCGACAGTCTAGCCAATGAGTCTTTCCGAGCAGGTGGCTCTGGATCGATGTCTATATCTATCTATGACACGGCATGGGTATCTATGGTATCGAAGAATGTTGATGGGGTTAGACATTGGCTCTTTCCAGAAGCCTTCCAGCACATAGTCGATGCCCAGGCTAAAGATGGCTCCTGGGAATCTTATTCGTCGCAGGTGGATGGAATTTTGAACACCATGGCGGTTCTGTTGGCTCTTTTATCTCATCAAAGTGCTAACAATTTCTCCTACTCCGTTTTACCGCCTGATATTGATGCACGAATACTCAAAGCACAAGATAGTCTGAGACACCAATTGCAGACGTGGGATGTCAGATCTCGTGTTCATGTTGGATTTGAAACTCTTGTCCCTGCGCTTTTAGGAATGCTAGAGCAACACAACGTCGTCTGTGAATTTCCTGGTAGAACGCATCTACTCTAACTGAATCAAGAGAAGCTCTCGAGATTCCAGCCAGAAATATTCTATAAGAATATACAAGTGACTGCCCTAAATTCCTTGGAAGCGTTCACTGGCACAGTAGATTTCAATCGAATCAAGCACCACTTGAAGAATGGAAGTATTATGGCCTTTCCATCTTCAACAGCGGCATATCTAATGAATACTTCAACCTGGGATAACGAATCAAAAATTTATCTTAGAAACACCATCATTGAAGCTGCTGGAAAAGGTAACGGAAGCGTCCCTTGTGCGTTCCTGACGACATTTTTCGAGTTCACATGGGTATGATACACTCATTTTCAATGCGAACTTGTAATAATCAAGCTGATGATTTATCTAGGTTGTCTCTACGCTTCTGAAAGCAGGTTACACCCCAGAGGAATTAGGAGAGTATAATCTTGACATATTGATGGATCATCTCCCGCAAGAATTAAGCCACAGGCACGCAGTCATCGGTTTTGGTAGGTCTGAATTACCCAGAAACAGTCCTTTATAATAACTCTGATAGCTCCTTCATTATTTGCTGATGCTGATGACACTGCAAAATGTATTCTCACGCTGTGCCTGGTCGGAAGATCAGTCTCGGCAGAGTAAATGATAGTGAACTTTGAAGTCAAAAATCATTTTCAGACATACGCGCTTGAGAGAAATGAAAGCATCAGTGGAAATTATAATGTAATTAATGCTTTGTTGCATATTAATGAGCCCAGCACATACATCGAGCAGATCCTCAGAACAACCGAAATTTTATGCAATTCGTGGTCGGCTGGAAAGATCGATGACAAATGGGTACGCGTATTTATTAGCTTGTCGTGATGGATATACTTTGTTATTATGCTAACAGAATGGATAAGAATCTTTCCCGGCAGTATTCGATGAAGCTTTTAGCTCAAGCATTCAGAAATCTTGTGATGGTTTGGGACAGTGGAGCACTACCAGACTTTCCAGGAGAACAATTGAAAGACAGGATTCCCGTAATTTTATAACAGATTTTACATCGCAAATTGCATACCCAAAATAGCAATGGTTCCTGGGTACTTCGGGCTCGTGCGAGGTAACTGCTTATGGTATCCTAACTTTGATCGATGCGACTTTCTTTCCCTGGGCCGGAGAGCTTGACAAGCAAATGCTTAGAGCCATTCGTACAGGTCAAAGCTGTTTGAATCAGCACCGAGATAGTTGGGATAAGGTTACTTATACCTGGGTTGGAAAAGTTAGTTACGGATCAAGCATCTTGTCCAGAACATATTGTATAGCAGCGACCCATGCAGCCAAGAATTACCCTACGAATTCAGCACAATAGAACCCATTGTCGAATACCTTCCATATTCCCTTCGATAGAAATGCGAAGTTCGCCAAATTTTTCTCTGCGATCCCTCTCTTCACGAGTGAGAGCTCATGGAAGCTTACTGCCTCTATCATGGAAGGATATCTCTTTCTTCCACGACTACGTCGGATTCGCTTGAATATCTTTCCCCGCCACAATATGGCAGAGGATAAATATCTAGAGTATATTCCTTTCACGTGGACTGGTTGTAATAATAAAGGGATATTCCTTGAGACCGACCTAATTTGGGATATGATGGTCATCCCAATGTTAAAATTATCAGGCAGACGAATTCATGGAAGCTGTGCTTGGACACAACGGCTCTGCGAAGCATTTAATCCGAAGCCTGTTTTCCAAGACAACTCTTCGAAATGATCCTCTATCGAGTCAGGAGAGTTCTTCGATGGATCGTGGCGTCATAACACCAGTGAATTCCGATGATGGTTTACCAGATGACTCCACAAATGATGACAGAGATACTCTCATCCGCTTCAAAGACCACGTTCTAAACCATCCCTCCATCCAGAAAGCTTCAAGATCATCTTTAGCTCATCTGAGCAAACAATTAAAAGCCTTCCTACTCGCCTATCTTATTTATTCAACCGACAATTCTCGTTTCGCACAACTTTCAGGGCACGATGCTGATACCCCGTCACATTCCCAGCATCAAGAACCTATTGGGATTGGGTACGCAATATTTCCGCCGTCCACACATCATGTCCCTATTCATGGGACTGGATATCGTGTCGAGTGACATCGGAACGAGGAGATGAACCGTTCCCCACGGCGCTCACAGAGTATGTTTCCACGGAGCTGGGTCAGCATCTTGCAGTCGTGTGTCGCATGTACAATGATTATGGCTCGTTAGCACGCGACAAGGCGGAAAGAGCCTTGAAAGCGTGAATTTCCCCGAGTTTGAAAAGTGCGCCGGAACTTCAATGTCTTTTGATGCAACGGAAAAGCAGACTACGGCGGAACTGCAAGAGAAGAAAAGTGCATTGATGGAAATGGCAGAGTATGAGCGTGAATGTCTCCTTATCGTCAAAGCGAGATTGAGACCTTTGGCTGGTGAGAAGGTAAGAGGTGTGCTGGATGTCTTTGTCGATGTGACGGATTTGTATGGGCAGATCTATGTCGCGAGAGATATTGCTAGTAGGATGTCATAGACATTTGTCTTTTCTAAAGTTTGGATGACTGATTTATTTCTGTAATTTTTTCTTCATTCCGCTGTGTACTTTGTTATTCTCATTAGTAAATCACTCGTTGTCGCTCAGATATCTGTTATAATTTTATTCTCTCAAGTAGCATCCCAGCATCAAAATTGAAGGAAATCGAAACACAAAACAAGAGTCTGCATCATCATACGTACCTTAGTACATATAGTACAGTCAGTAATTTGAGCCACCGAGAACTTCAGCTAGGCCCATCACTACCTACATTAACACGTAAAACTACCTCACACTCCCTCACCTGGTGTGCTCAAACTCAAATACACATTTTTACACTCTATTCCACAACCAGAATCCGACCAGGAAGATATAAGTAGGTCGATATCACAACCACCCAGTTACAAGAGAGTACCTATATACAACAATTCTGGAAATCCTCAAGGAATCTGGATACCTACAATCTCATCCCATCTATCAGTCAAAAATCCAACACCAGATCATATCATACTATACCATACCACATCAGTTCCTCAATTCCTCAATCACCCACTCACTCACTCACTCACCCATCCGCTCACCAACCGCCTTCCCAAACACCAACACCGCCATTCGATATACACCCTTCAAATTCAAAATGAAGTTCTGCATCTCTCTCTCTCTCTCTCAATCGATCCAATATCTCAATACACATATCTGCCTACTTACCCTACAAATGCAATCCGTACATCCCACCCCCTCACTCACACCCTCACACCCGGTCTCTCCCCCTCTCCTCCTCCCTCCGACACAAAATTCCCAAACTCCCAAACCCCCCAATTCCGAAACCCAACACAACACGCCCTCTCCTCGCCTCGCCTCCCGACTTTCCCCCACCACCCCAATGCCCCACCCACCTCTCACTGTTACACATATATCACACATACATCACATACTTTCCTAGGTACATATCCATATCCATATCCATATCCATATCCATATCCATATCCATATCCATCTACATCATACACAAACTCAAAACAATACACAAACCCAATATATCACAAACCTCATAAATACACAAGAAACATATCCAAGTCCGCAAACCGGCTTCTAGATTTTAATTCTCATCTCATTCTCATTCTCATTCTATTGTGCAGAGTACAGAGTACAGAGTACAAGTAAATAACTAAATAAATAAATAAATAACTAAATAAATAACTAACTAAATAACTAAATAACTAACTAAATAAATCTCGCGATAAATTATTTACATCAATTCAATTCAATTCAATATGTCAAAGAGTGAGGAATCTTCACCTTCTTCCGCTTTATTAGTATTATGATTTACTTTCCACGTGTTTTTCTCTCTCTCTCTCTCTCTCTCTCTCCCAAATCGCAAATATTTATTATGTACCTACCTATGTACCTACCTATGTATTATACCTTCGCTCCCCTCGCTCCTCTCCTCGGGCTCCTCAGGCTCCTCAGGCTCCTCAGGCAACACCAGGAAAGAATAAAAATAAAAAGTCAGATAAGTTAGATAAACTTCGATAACACAATATAATCTCAATATAATCTCAATATAAATAACCAAAAAACGGTAAAAGAGATGAGAATGAGAATAAGAATGAAATAAAACAAAACAAAACAAACCCAAAAAGACCCTGAATCAGCACCATACGCCCTCACGTTTCTATTCAAAACAATTTAAATTCTTCAATTCACTATATCACAAACACACACACATCCATCACACCCCTCTCATCTCTGTACGCCCCCCTTACATCATTTCCTCACACAACCCCGCTTATCCATCCATTCTCAAACATACTCTTCACCCCTCTTTACCATCATCATCATCATCATCACCATCACCATCACAGAAAGCAAAAACAAGAAAAATTAAACAAGACGAAATAAACAAGACGAAAATAAAACTCAGTACTAAAATGTGTATGTATATTCCAAAAAAAATCCATTATTCCATCCAAAACGCTGCCTTGGCCCATCATCCATCATCATATCAAAATAAGGGGTATATGAAGTTTAAATAAAAAAAAGACCATGTCCAACATGATAAGCAGTCATCCAGAAGATATGCCCCCCTCGCCTCCCTCATCTCACCCCTCTCGCCCCATCAGCCATCTACCCTTTGTAACCCCTCACCCACCCATTGTACAATTACAACTTCCTCCCGCCCCTTCCATTTCTCATCATGAATAGTATTTTTTTGTGTATTCGAATCTCGAAAGTTTCCATGTATATATGTGCTCCTTCTTTCCTCCCTTTTATTCTTCCTTCCTAAAACGAAATATAAGGAAATGGGAATGTAGCTGACCATTAAAGTCCAGAGATAAGCAATAAATAAATAGATGAATGAGACAAAAAGCGATCCAGCCGCTTTTATCCGGTATTAGTTTGTGAACTTCTTGCTTTCGGATTTTCAAATAGGAAATGTTGTATGCTGGGTATGTGTAAATGTGTGTGGTGCAACAAATGAAAATATGATGCGAAATCTGAGTCGCGTTGGTAGTCTAGTCGGCTGTGCTGGCTGAGGGAGTATTGTGTATGCAATGTCTGTGCTTATAGGTAGGTGAGATGCAAAAGAAACTTGACAAGAATTGGTCCGCGTGAAGTTAATATTCTGAATCTTCAGGTAGATTTTCAGGTTCTGGTGATTGTAACTCGGAATCATCGGGGTGCATCTAAGTTGTGAGGAGAAGTGGTTAGTCTTTTGTGTATTTGTGTCACCGAAGCTGAAAAGAAAAGGAATATTAGGTTGTGACGAGCGCATGGATGATGCCACCCAACTTAGGTAACCAAGGGCTTTTGCTTTTGACATTGCTTTTGGGCAGGGTTTCAAATAGTCTGGATTGCAGTCCAAACAATCAGACTTTCCCAATGTTTAAAAGCAATACGATGTTCAAAATAGATTTGCCATCTCAAACTATTGGAATAATTTTCTGGGATTCAGACATTGAAAGCCTCCGATTGTTGGACTGCAGTCTGGACTATTGGGCATCTTGATTTTAGGGAACTCACCAGTTCAGTCCATTTATCTTTGCAAGCCGTAGATGTGAACCCGGTCCCAACTTTCTGTGCCACAATGCGCCATTTTTCTTGTTCGTAATCATGAACCGCTGTTCGAAGTTTTTGAACCTGAAAGTTTTAATCAATTATTGATTCTCAAAAGACAAATTGTAAATATCTTACCGTCTCGTCAGTCCATTGAGTTGTCTTAGCCTTCAATTTTGTGCAATAGCGGACCTGCAATGTCCCTGAAGAGCGCCCTGGGAAAAACTCCGCAATTTGCTTCCAAGTCAGAGCCTTATTCTCTTTCAAATCTACCAGTAACTGATCATCCTCGGGAGTGAACTTTAACTTTGGACCTCGCGGTCTTTCTGCAGGCATCGGCATTCCGGCAGTGCCCACTACACTAGGTGCACCTTGCGACATCATACTTGAATCCGGTCCTTCGCCAAGACGAGGAATCTTCGCGCCTCGAGGTCCTTGGTTAGGCAATGCATGACTGTGAAAAGCCTGAGGTCCACCGCCATAACCACCCATCGTTTGTTGAGCCATTTGTGAAGACATGCCTTGCATCTGACCATGCATTTGACCTTCTGATACCCTTCCCATTCCAAGGTCCAAGTCGTCATGAGTTCTTGGCCTTTTCCCTACACTAGATGGTTGTTGTATTTGCGCACCCATATACCCGATGTGTTGCCCACCTCCATATTGAGGAGACTGGTGGTGGGCCATGCCGTGTGAATCTAGCAATACTTGGTGGTGATGGTGGTGATGTTGTTGCTGTTGCTGTTGATGATGCCCTCCAAGTTGAAGGGATTCGAGACTTTGCGCACCAACTTGCTGGAGCTCTGGGTGATGCGACCCGTAAACGCGCTCTGGATGTTCTTCGGATTGAGCAGCATAATCGATATAAGGATCGTGCCCTGAATTGTGGCGTGAATAGCCAGACATACATGGATTCCTCCACAGCGAACTGCTCTCGCAGGTCGCTGGGGGTAATTCTAAAAGGTGTTGAAGTATTGCCGCAGCGCGTTATGTTTCCAGAACGCTTGTTGTGGTTTTGTTGACCGTTGTTTACAAAGCAGATGCGACTGTGCGCGTTTCGAAAACTTATCTATATAATGCCGTTATATAGGTGAGAGCCGAATAATGCATACCTTGGTAATATGCGATTTACCAACGACCAAAACGTTTCCAAACTTCTTCGGCAACTTATTGTATGAATGAACCACTGTAGATTAGAGCCGTTGATGAAATGATAAAAGGAAGGAGAAATATTAAAGAGAGAGGGGGTGCATCTGCATTTATCTATCGTCTGATCTTTTAAGTAAAGCTTGCATAGACATCAATGGCGTAGGGCAGTAGCAGTAATTAAAATGACCAAAGCGTTCCAGCGATTCGCATCGAACGAGACAGCTTCCGTGTTGCGCAATGCAAATGATGCATGTTGGCAGAACTTTAGCAACGTTCTCTGCCGGGGAGATGGGAATTCGATTATGCCTGGCTTCCCAATTAGGGTTCCAAGGTGAGAAGATCCCGAGCCAATGCTTGTAACACTCAAAGCATGGTTATCCAAAGAAGGCTTGACAATGTTGACATACAAGGGAGGGGGTGATGAGTAGACCCGCCAAGAAGATTTGGTATCGAAAGTTAGGCAGAGTGGAGGTGGACAACCATGGGAAGAATGTTGGGTTCTCAGGGCATTAGAGCTCTGGAAGAAGTATAGAAGCTTTTGAAACAAGAAATGGATTGTGGCGAGAATAAGAAACCGGCAACAGGGATTTAGGCCCACTTCACCCAACCATCTTAACTCCTGGATGAACTTTACTTCCCGAGCCAACTTAAAAAAAAACCCCTCGTCCCTATTGAAGTGTGGAGAAGTAAGGCCATGTTCCACCGGCGCTGCGACCTCTTTCTGGGTTTGAAGCATGAATAATAACAAAATTTGTTTTAATGCTCAGGGATTATGGGATTAAAAATAGTATCGAGGTAGGATGTGATAGGATAATGACGATGAAGAACGGAGATGAATTAAATGGCAAAATAATGCGTTGATTTGTCAAATTGGCTTCTTTACCTTACTCGAGTAGACATGCAAGAATTGTCAGGCTCAATAGGACTTTGGCCGAATGGTGTGGTAGGGGCGCATGGGGACTGATTAATAACCCTTGAGTAGGCAACGAAGATACCTACCTAGGTAGCCAACACTGGCTCGAGAGTGGTTCCCAAGTCTCAATTCCCAATTGTAGATTCCCGTCGATGCTTGAAGGTCACATTTAACCATTTAGCCATTTACCATCCACGCTATTCCTCTCCCATCCATACAAAATTCAAGGGTTATAAATATAAAATCTCCGAGAGTAACTGCTGGAATTCCCCTTTTTTCCTACCCCTTGTACGTACTTACTTAAGTCGTGGGAGATTTTCTCATTGATCCATTCATCGGATGATTCCCATTGAAAAGCAATAAGAAACTGAAATGACGCGCGAGATGAGGGCATATGGGTAGCAACCAACGGAGATTTGAAGTCGTAAAGGCTACCATTTCAGCAAATAGGATAATAAATTGATTCTTGGATTGGAATGACGGATGGGCCGGCTTGGGCTGGCCTTATCGACAGCGACCCTGTCCCTTAACCTTAACCCCAGTGAAGAAGGCTGAAGAACAATGTCAGAAGGTTCTTTAAAGATCCCAATGATGATCCAGATCCACCTTGCAGATTTCTATACTTATCTTCGTATTTGAGCTGTTGGTTGTATGCAACGTACCTACCTAGGCAACGTAGGAGTTTTCTTTTGGTTCGGTCTGTCTGCCGGTAGTGACATTCAATGTGTAATAGAGAGATCATAGCCATGTCCCCTAGATGCTGAAGGCAAAAAGACTCGATTTTGTATTTGTCCAAGGGGGGCATTCGAATCGAACCATGAATGGAGACATGAAAGCCCTGCTTAGCTTTCAAATAGGTGGAATTGATGGAGTTATTCGCGACATTGCCCGTTCATGCTTTTTTGACTGTCGCACCTACACTTTTTTCCTTCTTTCTTTCTTAAGGCATTGATGTTGACAACCAGGGTCTGTAACCCATTCCAAAAAGCAATATAATTCAAATGACATGATTTCGACTTCTTTGCTCAAAACCCTAGGTAAGCATAAATGATCGGAGCAAGGGGAAAATACTAATATGGACCAAGCTGAGTATTGGATCTCTCGAAGAGGGAATATGTAATTGAAGAGCTGTACGTGTTTTCACGGTGACAAGGTTTCCTGTGTCGATTGTTGCTTCTCCTGATACCATTTTGCCCGTATGCTTCCAGTATAGTCGCAGTACCTAGGCATCCTCTACCGATTGATCAATTGAAGGTATGGATCAATTGGATCAAAGGGAACGAAACAAAAGGGGAATGCATGCCGACCGAATATATTGATAATGGGATTACGCGTGGATGAAAAGAGAAGGAAAAAGAAGAGGAGAAGAGAGATGAAGAAATATTGAATGAGTGAAGAGAAGTTTAATTTTGATTTCATTAAAATACTCGACTTATGGCCTAGGTATTGATTTACACTTTCGGAGAAAAGCGAAGAGGGAGCCACTCTTAACCTCATGTTTGTACTGAGGACCTACCTACACACCACATACATATATTGATTCACATTGGGTCGAATCGTTTGAATCATTTGAATCATTTCCATGTCCTTCAAACTCAATCTCTGTACGAGCATCTCCTTTCGCAATCTTCCTGTCCTGTTCGTGCACACTGCATTGTACAGAGGAACCGGTAACCAGCATGACATGAAAAGCATGTGTGTGCTAGGTATCTAGACTCAGGTAGGTACGATGCAGGCATATATTCCACGGTACTTGATTGAATCCAATGAACCGACGGACATGCAAAGTCAGCATGTAATAGCCTTTAACCTTGCCACTGCCCGAAAAAAGAAAACATACCAGTACCGATAAAAACGTTTGAATGGTAATCAATGGGCGTGCATACGGCAGATGCAAAATGTGTGCACACTGGTGTAATTGCACAGATTTACCTGCAGGTCCCGCACAAGTAAAAGAGTATCAGTGGTCGGTCGGCTCAAGCCTTACGTTCCTAAATCAGCGAAAGACCCCGAACCAAGATTTAGGTGGATCGACACATTGTGATAGGTAAGCCCTTACTCATCTACCTATTTGTACGATCTTTCCATATTCGAATCTGGCTATGCATCCCTTTCAAGTTTTACCTCTGGCCTGTTTGCTACCCCGTTCTATAAATACCTCCTTCACTGGAAGTGAATGCATTGATGATGTAGCGGTGATTCGTACCCACTGTCGATCATACATGTGATATGTAAGGCGCAGCAGCAAGGAGGCGACCATCGAACGAGAGCGTTGTGTAACCATAGACTAGACTCCAGTTTCTAGCGATGGCGGTATGGCAGTGAACAGGCAAGGCAGTAGACCACTAAATGGTCGAGCTGGTAGGGTGTACACACAAACAGCGAAGGGTGGGTTTCGCATTTGTGACGCACGCATGGAACAAGAAAGATGTGGAGTTCAGCTGTATCATATGAGTTGCAAGCTAAAAGGCCGTGTGGTTCAATTGCCTACTAGGTACTCATGATAATCCGAATATTGAAAACAATTTGAACTTTTAAAGCAATATGAGCATTAAACACAATTTGAACAATTTGAGCAGTTCAAGCTTTCAAGCATTTGAACCAATTTAAAAATCCAAAGCATTTCATGTAATCAAAGCATGTTGAGCAATCAAAGCAATCTGAACATTGATATTAATTCGAACATTGAGAACAATTTAAACATTCAAAGCATTTTGAACATTTAAGATAATTCGAATATCCAAAACATATTGAACAACAAAATAATCTCAACATTCAAAGCATTTCGAGTATTGAAAGCGATTTGAACTCTTGAAATAATTTGTACATTTGAAGAAAAATGAAACAATAGGATACCACAACTGAAACATTCATAGAGGTTTTGAAAGTCCAAAATTATCAACACGTCATTGTGGCATGATCAAATTCATTTCATTTTGCTACCATATTATTCATCTACAAAAAATACATTGTTACAATGCGTGTTCGCATCAAACGCCCATTGCCCAGCCCGATTTGATACAGATGCACGCTGATTAATTCATCCTTCCAGTTCCAATCTTCCTTCCCATATTGTTCTGCTTCTCCTTTTTTCAACCCCCTATATCATTATGTCTAAGCAAGCTTGTCTTCATTGTCAACCCAAATATCCTCCAATTCAGCAAAGTTCTGGAAATGCAAAGGTCTGTGTAGGTCGTTGTAGAAAGGCGTAGGCGTATCGATCTTCACGTGTATTGGCTTCTTCTCCAAGCTTCCAAAGGCACTACCCATAAAACTATAGTTCCATGAATTGGTCTCGGGTACCAAGAAGTATCCGCGGATCTTGTCACTAAGCAGAAGTTGACATTTCTCACCCATGTTCGTGCTGAAGCCTTGCGGTTGGTCGCTACCGAGATCTTTATTCTCCGCACCCCATTTATAACCATGAGGCGTGAGCGCCCATGATGCTAGTGAGACACTTCCGGGAGTGAATGAAACAGTCATGGTAACCGTCTTTTTATCCCATGATTTATGCGCATTCATGAGACGTGCATGTTGGGTGACATCCATGGCTGTCATATATGGTGGTTCGTTACCAGAAACGGTGTGAATGATTCCGAGAGGTTCCATTTGGTCTAGATACTCATGTTGTGGTAACTGCTGAGGCAATTGTACATCACGTGTACTACCAATTTGAGGTACCATTACGATGCAGCGGATTTCCTTCACTTGGTCATTATCTGGGGGAGATGAACCATACAAATACCCAGCCACTTGAACTCGCAAATCCGCAATTGTGATAAAGCGCTTCAAGATGTTCTTTGGCATGATATAAGTGTAGTGATCATCCTCTTTGACGTCATCCGAAGAGATATAGATGTTGTTAGATCGTGTCCTCAAGTTCGAAGTTGCGATCGCTCTAGTTCTCCATTCAGTCTTCGATGCAAAGGTTTGTTGTTCGAATTGCGAGGTAGTGGTGACAATAATATCCTCTCCGTGAACGTTTTGAGTCTTGGTCGTGACAGCTGTAAGCTGCTGTTGTTCTTGTTGTTGCTTTTCAATTTCGGCCGCTTGCTGGCGTTGCATCGATGGAGCACTGATTTCCATACCCAAAATAATATCACGTACTTCACTACTGGTAAGACTGGAAGTGTTGACATTGTTCTTCTTGCCGTAATCATTCAAAATGAGATCACGCAGTTGGGTTTCAACCTTGATCCAATCTTCATCCGATAATGTGGGCCAGATATGATGCTCTTGAGTGATCACAGTCTTGTCGGGTCGAAGGAGTAACTTTGTCTTATCCTGATTTACGTGCAAAGCACGCAAGATAAGGATCAAACGAGAGAATGCAGTGTACGATGAAATTGACTTTAGCCATTCGTCGTAGAGATTGAAGAGAACCATCTGAGGTTCGGTGGCACGAAGAATCATATCACCGAGTTTCTCGACCTTCATGGCAGCCTGAAAGGGTAATTGCAGCTCAGAGGCACGGATTGATATGTTGGGGAAATCAAGCAAATGTACTTCAAGTGGATCAAGAAGACCCTTTCTCGTAACGATGAGCTGTTTCGGTTGCTCTTCGATAGGCAATGATCGAATGAGAGCGGCAACTTCTTCAGCAGTCTTCCACTTAGCTAATTGTCCCAGACGTTTCTGACCTGCCCAGACACTTGTATGAATAATCTTCAAGAAGAGTTGTCCAGTACGAGGATTGAAGATGAAAATTGCTCCGTTGATTGGTTTGGTTGTCAAGTTACCTTCAAATGTCTTGTGGATAGTAACACGGTAAACATTTGTGTCGTCAATGAAGAGTTGGATTTGGTTGCTGAAAAGTTCAGAGTAATTTTGAGAATTCAAAAACTCTTGATTACTTTCGGACGCATACAATTGAAGACCCTTCCTGATACGTTCGCGCAAGACGTAGAGAGCTGGATTTGCCTTCATGATCTTGGCCATAGCTTGCTGTACCAATTGCTTGAGACCGGGGAAGTATTGTCCATATGCCGAGTAGAGATTGTAAGCAAGATCGATACCAATCATGAGACCAGTGGCCGAAGGATAAATACTCATACTATCGGTTGTATAATCAAGGTATTTTGCGCGGACGTATCGTTCAATGTCGTGAGAATCATAATCTCCGTAACGAAGTTGAACATCTACCCAGAACTTGTTCGTTGTGGTAGCTTCAATTACGTCTTTTGTGTCAAAGAGAATGGATGGGCGAGTGACGTTCCATTTGTGGCTTGCAAACAACAGAATATCAGCACAGGAGCTGTTCATCTTGTAAGACTTTCTGGGATGAATAGTCTCCTTTTGTACGGTCTCGATGCCAAGCTGCTCCAATTCTTGATCAAATACTTGTGCCAGATCCATTACTACACTCTCATGTATTCTATAAGATGAAGTTAGTGATGAAGGGAAAATTAGTGAACTTATTGAACTTACTTCTGCCAAAGATGGGCGCGGAAGATTTGGATGAGAGAAATCTTCAAAGTTGGAATTTTGCCGTGCAAGAAAATACCAGTAAGATCTAATTGTACTTGGAAACCAACATAAACATTGGCTCTGTTGATTGTCTGAATTTAAATCGAATGTCAGCTTGTGTTCATGGTTTCAAATGAATAGGACATTGTAAAGTAAATTTTGCCTCAAAAGGCTCTTCGTTGTTCCAAGCTGGGTAGGATATTGTAAAGCAAACTTTGCTTGAGAATGTTTTTACTGTTCCAAGTTGAATAGAACATTGTAAAACAATTTTTCTTGAGAATGTTTTCAATGTTCCAAATTAAGTAGGACATTGTAAAGTGACTTTTGCCCGAGAATACTTCTCAATGCCTCAAATTGAGCTTGACAATCAAATACCCTCTCAGGCAGGATAGGGATTGGAATAGTATAACTTACAGGTGACCACCAAAGGGTAAATCGACGATTGGGGATCTGGTTGAGACCCGATCTTTGAGCGTTTGTCAACTTCTTAAACTTCATAGACCTAAAAAATCAAAAGTTAGCCAATTTTGGTATGTATTTCAGGGTAAAACAGGGTCCCAACTCTTCAAAACCACTCGCTTTTTCCCAGAATAGGCCCTCCCAGGATGGAAATGCTGTCGCCTTAAAGAGTGTGTGTTCAAGAATGGTTTCGACACCACCAAGCGCTTGAATAACATCGGTACGATAGGCGTTGAGGTTCCACAATTTACCATCATGGCGTTGACTAGTCCACCAAAATGGATTGCTCTTCATAAGTTGGTATGTCTTAAACTCGGTACGCGCGCGGAATCCTTTGTCGAAACTCAAAGTGCTCCTATCTTTTTGGAAAAGAGTGTTAATACGAGGTAATCCACGATCCCAACTATCTTCAAGATCCTCGAGTGTCAATCTTCGGTTTTGTTGATTTGCCTCCTGACGTTTCTGAGAATATTCAGTCCACACACGTTGGGAGTCGATGAATTCAGCTTCCCATGGTATGATGTATCTGAAAATATTAGGAATGAGAGTGTCTTCGTCATGAGTCATGCCTGCACGATAATGCGTAACACCAACATCGGTTTGCTTGGACCATCTTTTATCGCTTGTCGGAATGAGGATATGTGATCCGGATATCATACCGAGACCACCAAGTTCCTTAGGGGTGTAGAAAACCGCAGGAGGGAAACGAGAAGGCATCTTAGAATTAAGACCGATCTTAACTCTGGTCTGAATCTTGGTTTCACATTTCACAATGGTATCTAGCAAATTAACCGTGGATACAGCTGCTTCACGATAGTATGTGAAGAGGGCGATCAAAGTAGTGTTCCACTTGTTAGCGATCTTCGTGAATGTAGTCGAACCTGAGGACATCAGAATTTGACGAATGCGATTGTTGAATTTGGCAATATCCTCCTCGGTTACCTGCAAGAATGCATGTGCCGTTCTCTCCTTGCTGGTGTTGTCGACTAAGGACCATACGCTGTCCTTGACCGGGAATTCGTCGTTTTGGTTACGAATCTTAGGGAGAATTCGAACTTCAAAACCGCACATGGAGAAAAGTAAGTTAGGGTTATCTCGGCTGTATACACTTGAAAAGGTATCATCCCATTCGATTGTGGTAACAGATCTTGGTAAGCGATTCTTCAAGTCCCAGAAGACAGCACGTCCGAGGTTGACATCGTGTCTCATAAGACGCATTCTAGAATCTCTTGGCCAACATTTCTTGTTCTTGTAGCCGATTACATTTTCGAAATTAGGATCCGGTTGCTCTGTCAGGAAACGCTGGATAAGATCGCGTGATTCATCAGCCGAAAAGCGGAAGAACACCCAAATGCGATCAATATATCTAGTGTATAGACGAATTGGATGTCTCGTTTCCGTCTCGCGGTCGCGGAACTGAAGGAAATCGTTAGGGCCTGCTGGTGGACCGGCAATTTCACTAGCGCGCTGTAGACCAAGTAATAAGAGATCGAGAACAAGTCCATAGTACTGGAAAACGAAAGCGGAGAATTGAAGACCTCTGATCATTCCGTAACTGTTCACGTGATTCATATCTTTGTAGGTCAGTTGAACGTTATTTTTAGATGATATGTAATCAGCCAGATTGTGATCCATAATGAGTCGAAGTAGACGATTAAGAAGAGTCAGATCGATCTTCTCATACACTTTAGATAGTTGTGTTTCGATCATGACGTTGCATTCTCCATCTGCAGTCTCCCAAACTTTGTCGAGGTTGTTGATACCTTGAGCCCATTTATAGGTTAACAAGGGTGGGACTTCGGAATCGGAAGGCTTGATCCAGGCAGGGAAAAGATGGCGTTGATCGGCTTGATACCAGAGGTATTGGTCTAGATAGGCATCACTGATCTTCTCCACGGGTTCGATATCATACACAGGGTTGATTGTGCTGTAATTGTCGTTCATATCAATTCCGACTTCCTTGAAAGCTCTCTGTGTCAGTAGGAAGCGCTTGATTCTCTCTAAAGTAGTTCCAGGACTATCATAAGCTTGCTCAATCAAGGCCAATTCCTCACGCTGGCTCTGGTTTAGTCGTCCCTTGACAGAGTATGCTTCACGAAGTCGTTCCAACGCAAGGATGAGGATTTTGGTGTCGTGCTTATATGAAACACTGGGAAATGGAATGGGTGAGAATTTTCGTGACTCCAGCCAATGAACAGTGGTTGTATAGATGGCGACAGCTTCTTCAGAAGAGACGTATGGGCCGTCCTTCATATAATTGTGCTGTCTCTCTTGTTCGGCCTTGAGCCAAAGTCTCGTGAGACGACCAAGGTTCTTCTTTGCAACTGTTTTATCGACAGTCGCTCCCCGACGAATACGCTCACGATTGTAGTGAGCGACGGAAATCCACCAATCCGCCTTACTCTTCACATAACGAAGAATAATATTCTCGATGGGTGCTGGTAAACCCGGAACCTTCCAAGGAATATTACTCTTCCAGCATCTCCATGCCTCTGAAAGATGTTGAAGTACAGTCTGAACCTTGTTTTGCTTGATACCCTCCGGCATCATATCAAGAAGATCGGCCATAACCGATGCTCGCAATTCAAGATCAAAGTGCGACTCTACACGTTGTTTTGTAACTGTCTTTGCAACACCTTTACTGTGACGTCCTTCAAATTGCCTAGAAAGGAGATTTCCAAGCCATCTTTCAAGTAATGGAATTATACCACGCATGAAAAAGAGCCAAACTCTCCAAGCAGGTGCCCAGAAGCCGCAACCAGGTCCTTTGCCTACTGGTCCAGAGTTGAATCGATAATAGATTAAATGCTTCAAATCTTTACACGAACGAATTTGATGCATCAGTTTGTACTTATAACGGTACATTCCAGTCAGCTGACCAACGTGATTGAAAGCGTATAAAATACCATCTGCAAGTTGAAAAGCGTCGATATTGCCAAGACGATACTGAACTTGTGCGTCAACAATCAACTTTGTCATTTTCAGAATCTCACGCATCAGATGGAACGCATTTCCGAATCGAGACTTCTTTCTCTCCTTTGTTGTCAGTGTCTTGACAGGCTTCAAATTGAAATTGTAATCAAGATGTAAGTATGTAAGGTTCTTGCGATGAATGAGAAGATTCAACATATTGAAACCCTGCCTGCAGACTTGAAGTCCAGCTTCAACCCAATCAATTGTTGTTTGCTGGAAGAACTTCGTTTGCTTCAACGATTTCATCAAGCTTTGTTTACTTTGTGCTTTTGGCTTCCTCTTATGCAACTCGTTCAAGACATAAGTCTTCAAAAGCTTCTGGTATGAAACTCGAACCTTTACTGGCTGACCTTGAGGGCAATGCTCAAGATACCACTGCTTGACGAGAGGTACGTCTTGTGCCCGAACCATGCGACCGGATCTTCGATCGAACGGGAAAGGTGCCCACCACAAGGAAATGGCTGAAGCTGTTTCGCTAGTGTATAACTCCTCGTCCGCGAGAAATGGCTCAGCATCACCTGGTAGTCTGAAAGCGTCTTCTTCTGGCTCTTCATTGCTACCTGCACCAAATATTTCGTCTTCGTGACTGATGGTGATGTTTTTAGGGGCAACAGATCTGGAAGAGATTGGGTTGATAACAGGATCGAAATAGAATGCCGGTAAACTTGGATCCTCAGCACGAACATATACCACTTGCGGATGCGAAAACCAGGAAAGCTTAACGCTACGAGGTAGTGAATTGTATAAGTAAGGAAATGCTACACGATACTCTGTTCGAATTGGAGCTCGGAAGATGATGCGATCGATTGCATTGAACTCTCCGAAATCCTCATCGTTAGGATCCACATCTTTGTACAGAGGTTCAAAACGTGGGCCACCAGGAATAGCAACATTCAAAGCTTTGGCTGTCTGAAAGCTCTTCAATTCGAACATGTGAAAGTAGTTCTTGTCGACTAAATCACTCAGTAATTGTCGACTCAATCGATATAAAGTCGCCATTTGAGGTAAAGTAAGGTTCCACTCCTTGTAACTCGGGCCGTTGACATGTGGCGTGTCAAGTAGTGGTCGATTTTCGTAGAACCATTCTAAGACAGCAGCATCCTCTCCTTCATCGAGTTCCAGTTGAATTGGCTCCAGTGGTTCGACATCTTCGATATTCTCCGACCATGAAAGGGGTGGTTCTTCGTCATCGAATGGCGGAAATCTCATTCTCTTGAAATGCCGTCTATCACTCTTTTCTCTTCTCATACAAATCCACATCGTAGCCCATTGTGCATGAAACACTGGTTCGATAACTCTTGGTATTTCATTAACCAAAGTCAGGCAACCGTTGACGTGGTACAGCACTTTTACCTCCCTCGCAGACTCCCAAGGCATTGGCATGTTCTCCAGCAATTTCATCACGGCATGTGGCATGAATTTGAGTGCACCGAGATAACTTCGTTTATCACTGCTGAATTTCTTTTGTGATACATCTCCAATATCCTTAACGATCTTTCGCAGATGCTCTGGTGGCATATCAGCTTTCTGAGTTTCTACAAAACCACCCTTTCGTTTTTCGCCGAATCGATTTCGCTGTGTTCGTAACCAATCTTTCTTCTTCTGTGCAAACTTCGCAACATGTGGATCCGCCGGTGGTCGATAACCTGGAGGAGGAGGAGCACCAGGTGGCGCGCCCAGAGGCATGGATGGAGGTGCAGAGGAGCTCCATCCAGGCGGGGGAGGTGGTGGAATTGATGACATTTTTAATGTCTTGGGTACCAAGTCCCAAATTCCATCAACAAGTCGCCTTTTGAATAGAACTTCACTTTGTCGTTGATGGGTATAAAGTTGATAATTGTGTTGTCGCGAGCGCGTTTAGATAAATTTTAACGCTACACGGAGAGCTTAAGGAAATGCCCGCTAGCGCATCCGTTCAATTAATCTTTAATTCTTGTTGCCTGAGTCTTGAGGTGCTGATATAAGCACAAAGCACAAGGGCTGTCGATTTAGCACGTGAATGATCTAACTATAAGCGTGATAGCTCTAGCGAGTTATCGCGCACGAAGAATTTGTTCAATTTGACAAAACTCAAGATTCAATCGACAACGCCAACGACCTCAATCGACCTCCGAACCAGAAATTCGCCAACATGTCGTCCAACAGATTGACCTACAGACGCCGAAACCCGTGAGTTTCAATTATACAACGTTCCAAGAAGAGCCATATATTAATTAAAATAGATACAACACTCGATCCAACAAGGTCAGAGTTGTTAAGACCCCCGGCGGCGAGCTTCGTTATCTCCACATCAAGAAGGCCGGTACTGCACCAAAGTGCGGTGACTGCGGAATCAAATTGCCAGGTGTAAGTTGATATCTTTCGATTAAATTACAAGGGAGGAGGAAAAAGCGAAAATTCGAAAAATCACTCGCCAAGTTGGACTACAAGCGCGAGGCATCTATCTACATAGCACCAGTTGTCACTTAGCGATGGCCAATATATGGGCTCCAGGCTCTCGAAAGCGGCGACGGTTGATTGCAACGGACTTTTGATTATAGAAAATTGGTTATGGAAATGCTAATTCATTTCCTGTAGATCCCAGCTCTCCGACCCCGCGAATACTCCCAGATCTCCCGCCCAAAGAAGACTGTTCAACGTGCCTACGGAGGATCAAGATGTGCCAACTGCGTTAGAGATCGTATCGTCAGAGCTTTCTTGATTGAGGAGCAGAAGATTGTCAAGAAGGTTCTCAAGGAGTCTCAACAAAAGAAGCGTTAAGCGGTTGATTAGTTCTGGGTCCTTTGGTGTTTGACTGGGAAGGCTGGAATGAATCGCAGCAGGAAATAGCTGTATAAATCTCAGGGCTTCCACCAATTCATGAGCTTCGACTATACTGAGTGCCCGTCCATTGTGAGGTTGGCGTCAGAATGCATAAAAGTGAATGGGGTTCGATTTGGATCTGTTCACCGGTTAGTGAAGCAGGCAATTAATCGGGGGTTTCGAGCAATTTATGAAGATATTGCAAAGACAATGTTCGCCTTTTTCTACGACTATGTGAGCCGAGTGTATCATCCCATGATGAATTCCATTCGACAAATCAGACAAACGGGAAGATGTACATCTTCAATGCCGAACCAGAAAAGTTTCTTGAATACAGCCCCAGCAGCCTCTTGGAACTATGAATATGTTTCACCAACGTGTGACGTCGTGACCTCCGCTTCGTGATATTTGTTTCATCTCAACTCCCTTTCTTCAAAATTTACGCTGCAAATTCTACCTACCAGCTGCAAATCCATTCATGAATATTGACCAAGCAGAAGTCGCTCTATTTAGATAGTTGACGACTAGGTAAAGGCAACAAACTACATCATGCGCTCTGGTAGCAAGAAGCATTTAATCAGTCGCAGTCCCAAATACATATTCACATAACTTACGCGACCTTGCATTAATGAGTTTTTATACCAAGTGATGAATGTCTGTTTACTAAATTTCATAAATGTTAGGTCTTATCGGTAGGTAGATATCGTTTCCTTCAGTAAGTTCTCGGAAACTCTACTATTGATGTCTGTACTCGAATTGAAAGATTGGTGTGCGTGTTGCGAAGATCTGCCTGACACTTCTTGTACACCGATCTGTTGGTTGCCCAGACAAAATAGCGCCCTGACACCTGCCGTGCCTAGTGAGCTCTTCTGTCTCAAAACCGGGCTGACATCATTAAGTTGCCAACTCTAGTGGTAAGTTTCTGTCTCCGAACTCATACTTTTCAACGATAGGTGAATCTTATTTATACATACAACTTGACAACCTCAGCGCAACACCTAATGGCGCCGAATAATAACAGTCCGCTGTTCGCGTCAGGAAGACCCTCTTCCTCTAATTCCGAAGAAAGAGCTGCGGCAGAAGACGATGCGCTTCTTGGTAATCGACGAAAGAATTCCTACGAAGCCAAGAGACCTGGATTCTGGAGAGAGATTGGGCTCTTTACTTGGGCTGTTGTTGCTACTGCTGCTGTCATCGTCCTAGGTGTTTTATTGTCGCAAAGCCATCAAGCTCCGAAGAAGACAAAGCAAAATGGGAAGCGCAATCTTATTTTCATGGTGAGCGATGGAATGGGCCCGGCATCTTTGAGTTTGACGAGAAGCTTCCGGCAATTTCAAGGAGATCTGCCCATCAATGACATACTTCATCTCGATCAACATTTTATCGGTTCGTCGCGCACGAGGTCAAGCAGCAGTCTTGTTACAGATAGTGCGGCGGGAGCTACTGCATTTAGTTGTGGAAGAAAAAGCTACAACGGCGCAATTTCTATGTTGCCCGATCACACCCCATGTGGTACTGTACTCGAAGCTGCGAAGAGAGCTGGTTATACCACAGGCTGTAAGTAAACATCTGCCATGTTCATTCATACATTGAAGTGCTAACTCCTCCAGTGGTTGTTACAACAGATATAACGGACGCGACTCCAGCTTGCTTTGCCTCACACGTTGATTACCGAATGCAGGAGGACTCGATAGCTTTACAAGAGGTTGGAGAGCATCCTCTTGGACATCGAGTTGTTGATTTGATGTTAGGCGGTGGACGCTGTCACTTCTTGCCCAACACATCGGAATCTAGTTGCAGAGCTGATGATCGCGATGTCACAAAATTGGCGCAAGACAAATACGGGTGGACATACATTGATACCAGAGAGGATTTTGACGAATTGAAGCTTGGAAAGAAGGTTCAGCTGCCACTGTTGGGTCTATTTTCTGATACAGATATCCCTTTCGAGCTTGATCGACGAAACATGAACGATGTCTATCCTTCCCTTGATGAAATGGCAAGAACAGCTTTGACCGCACTTGAAGCTGCAACCAAAGATAGTGATAAGGGTTTCTTTCTCATGATTGAGGGAAGTCGAATCGATCATGCCGGCCATGGAAATGACCCCGTAAGTCACTACAGATCACTTAAAGGCGGCATGACAAGTCTCAGCACGAGTAGCATGGCTGACTAGTTGTTTTAGGCTGCCCAAGTTCACGAAGTACTTGCCTATGATCGAGCTTTCCAAAGTGTGGTTGATTTCCTGAACAAGAGCGATACTGAAGGTGCTCTTGTTGCTACAAGTGACCACGAGACTGGAGGCTTAGCTGTTGCAAGACGTAAGATTTACCAGCTCGCCATGCTCATGAGCTATTACTAATCTCATATCCAGAACTTAATCCTTCATACCCTCAATATTTATGGTACCCTGAGGTGTTGGCAAATGCTTCCCATTCATCAGAGTATCTTTCTAGGGTTCTAAGGGCTCATGTTGCTTCTTCCGAAGCGATTGCCAATGGACGCCCCGTGAGTAGGCGATTCGTGAAAGAAGATCTCATTAAGAAGGGTCTCGGGGTTATGGACGCGAGTGAGGAAGAGATCGATCGCGTACTTGACAATCCAGCGCTTTCTGCTTATGCTTTTGCCGATATCATCAGCCGCAGAGCACAGATTGGTTGGTCAACTCACGGTCACTCTGCTGTTGATGTCAACATCTATGGTTATGGTGCTGATGTACTTCGTGGAAACCACGAAAATATCGAAGTCGGCAAATTTTTGAGAGATTATCTCAATGTTGACGTTGATGCAATCACAGCAGAACTAAATAGCAAGGCTAATGGTCAAAGTCTCTCGGCTGCTTCAAACCCTGATGTTCCAGACTTTGGACGATACGAAGAAAGACTCAAGAAGAACTTGCCACAATAGTTTTCCAAGTGCTATTTTGTCTTTTCATTATACCCAATCTTATTAGAGCTAGAATTATTGAAAATTTACTAAATTGTTTCAGAAATTTGTTGAGCAGGATCCTAGCTTCCTGTGACCTTCTTTAGCAAACTTTTTCTTTCCGATTAGAGTAACACAAAATCCTCTTTGCCCGTACCAATCATGTCATTCTTCCATTAATACCATGCATGAACCAATCTTCATCACAGTCAGAGGCTCAACAAACAGCTGACGCGGGACCCACTATCTCATCTTTTTGTGTAGATGTTTGAGGTTTGCAAAATGCCAAACTCAAGCATTAACATCACCTTGTCGCAATCGATATGATGGTGAAATTCCGATTTGAGGAATAGTTATCTGCTCGCATCTTTTGCTTGTTGTCGGAGGAGTTTCTATGGATAGTGCGCCGTTTGAACGACCGGGGATGATGGCCCGTCTTACAGCGAAGAGTATTCTTTGCGTACAGCAAATGAAGACTCATATTTCAAAGAGCAGGTGTGTCACATTGATCAATGATGGGAATTCTGAGCTATGGGAGAATCATGAGAGAGCTTGTGTTTCCGGTATAAGTATACTTCTTGTAGCTTCGTATCCCGAAGTCTTCTTTTGAACAATTTTTGGTATTGTAGGTGTGATCATTGATCTTCCTCCCTTCCTATTCGAATTGATCACCATCTTCCATTCATCTAGCTCTCAGTTATAAAATCTCAGATTCAATTTTGTGAAATCTCTCATCTGGACTAGAACCAATCAAATGTGCAATTACTGGAGCATAGAGCCTCTTTGCGGCCACCGCACTCTCCACGCGGGACCCAGCTGTTATCTTCTCTACGCACAATTAGCACGCATCAATGATCCACGAGAATTAGCACGACCGGGTTTACCGTTCGAACTTTCGAATGAATGTTTACCGAATCGTTGGAATATTCGGCCGAAATATGTTAATGGGTATTGTTCTTCAGAGTGTAGGAACAATGGGACTTTGTATGCAGGAAGAAGGTGTGGAGAAAGGGATGCGAGATATGGGCCGGGGAGTGAGAGAATTGGGGTAGGGTGGAGGTATTGATGGTGCGATGCTGGACATGAAAAATTCGAAGATTCGAATCTGGTCACCGGTGGATGATGACTTGAGACCAGGCGTTGATATGAAATGGCTGTGCAAGGAAAATTTCTTGACACATTGGAGGACGAAGTCCATGATGGACATACATAATCAAGGTTAGAACTAAGACTGGGTGTTAGTGTCGAAAATCGGGCTTTAGAATCACATTGCAGGAGTTTTTGATGGTAATGAAAATATGACTTGGATCCATGGTAGCTTTAAATAGCTAGAGCTTCAACTAGTGATCATTATGCCACGGGCATTGATGTGGCAGGACCAGCGATATTGGCTAAACATTTCAATTGTGAATACTGTTACATCAAAGATTCCGTCTAGTATACGCCCAGTATGCCTTGTATGGCAACTTCCACTCTCTTGCCCTGAGCTCTGGCCTGAATACATCAAAATCGAGTTGTTCCAGCCTTTCCAGCCATAATCTCGTGGGGACTGCTTGCATAAACACGCCAAATCCTCTCTCTATATCGCTGACTTGGGTGTTATCACCTTCTGCATAGTAGTGGCCATCCTCACCTTGATGCTCAAACTCGTGACCTGCGTCTTTGCCCGCTTGGAGGTTCTTTAACATTTCCCTGGCAGTAATCAAATGATCATTTGCTCTGGTCGCCACTGTGAAAATAGCATCTTTCAGACCAGGAGCTTCTGCCCCATGCCTCAATACATCCTCCTCTTTAACGCCAGTTTCGGCCATGACATCTAATGGTAAAACGACTGCTCCTTGTCGCCCACCAGCATTACCACCAAGGGAGCCCCCAAAAGCTGCATTGTTGCTGTGATGATTTGGTGGCGGTGGAAATGCTATCAGTGGCAAACCCCTTAGAACTGCAGCAATCCCGGCCGCTTTACCGATATGACTTGCAACATGATCGGCTGCCATAGATTGTAGAGGTAGAGCTGCCAAAGTCAAGTACATTAATGTTGAATATGTATTCTCCGCGTACATCTCAAGCGCATCCATATTTGTATAAGGTCGATTATCCATATATTGTTCCCTTGTATTGATCACTTTCATGAACCAACCCTTCATCACACTTGTGCTGATTCCATCATATCGCGATTGGAGAGATGTGAGCGCATGATGTAGAAGGATAGCGACAGGTTCTTTCGGAGGTGTATTCGCAAATGTTCGGTTCAAATTATCTCGCCAGAACTGCATGCGCAATGCTCCTACTGTTGGATTTGATACAATATCTGGTATACGAGCTAATTCAATATTGAGAGCACGAATTGAAAGGTAGGCATCTCTTGTTGAGGGAGGAATGAAGGTTTGAAGAGTGTATGATGGCGAATCAAACTTTCTAGAAATCAATTAGATATGGGGAATTGAGAAACTCACAGGGCTCGCAGAACTAACTGGATAAGATTGGAACAATATGTCCTGGCTTGATTTATATCTTCTTCAGTCAACCGGGAGGCAAATGGCGCAGGTGTACTGTATGAGGTAGTAGCATAGGCGCATCTCGAACTGATATATGTCTTGGGACAGCTTTGGAGCCGTCGCAGGATTTGGGATTTGTACATTAGAATTATTGTTGTCGTGGGTGACTAGTGAATGAATTGTGATTTGCAAATTCTTTACAGTTGTCCCTCTTCGAATGGTTATATGTACATTGACAAAGCTGTTAACAAAATAATTTACAAGGATAAGATAAGATACCCCGACGTCACTAAACATCTAAATGATTTTTTGTCGCGTCCGTCCATCGCGTGACTGCGCGTTTCCATCAAATCAGCAGTGGAATATTACTCAGTTGCCCTTGTTTTTTGTTCTTATTTTATAATGACAAGTTTAATTCGTGTGAGACTTCCATAGCTTCTGCGGATATGGAGGGGCCTCCAGCAAAGAGAAGAAGGTTCTTTGCGGAAACAGCTGAGGGTTTGGAATCTTCACCAGGTGAAGAGGCGACAAATGTACCAGATGAAATCGACGCGCTTCCTCCAGCAATTGCCAGCTCCACAAACGAAATCAAAGACCAGAATCCTCAAGATGATCCAGTTTTGGAAGAAAGCGCACTTGCTGAAGATTCGCAGACTATATTCGACCAGGAAATGTTCGAGAACTTCATTGGCGACAAAGTGACTCCAGAAGAACTGAAAGGGTTACGAGAAGCGTCTGGAAATGATATAGAGAAGGCTGTAAATATGTTCTTTGATGGATCTTGGAAACGACCTGCGCTTGTCTCCGGTCTCTCCAGATCTTCGTCAAATTCCAGAAGCGCTTTTAGTTCTTTCGCGAAGTCTGTCAGTGGCGGTACTGTTGATGGCTCCAAGGCAAGCTCTTCAAAATCAAACACCTCGTCAAGAACAGTCTCGCCTCATCGAATCATGCCAGAATACCGGTATATAGGAGCTTTTGGGGTTGGAGGCTGGGCTACGAAGAGTGGAACAAATTTAATCAAGCACGGCGAAGTTGTGCGGATAGAGCGTCAAAAGATACAGCCACCCAAGGCACCGGCCGGAAGGGGGAAAGGCAGAACATCAGTCGCCCAAACATTACCAAAACCTAATAGCGCCGCAGCACGGCGTGTCGATGTCATTGTACGTTTTACCAATTCAAAGGGGTTCGAAGTTGGTCGTCTTCCTCAGGAAACGGCGAATTGGGTTTCTACCTTAATTGATCAAAGGATATGCAAGTTCGAGGGTACATGTGTATATGCGCCTGAAAGAATTCGTACCAATGATACTGTCTTTCTCCAACTCAGGTGCTCATTGTTAAGAACTGCTTTCGATGACCGCAGTTTCCAGGCACCTGATAACCGGGTTACTGGTTTCTTTGAAGAGAAAGAAAGTTCTGAAGAAAAGGGTCTTAGACTCCGTCAGGTCGCGTTAGTTAATTTATTTCAAGAGATTAATCTGCTTCCTACGCAAACGAGCGAAGCAACTGCAAAGCATAAGCGTCAGGGACTCTTAAGTGCTGCAGAGGCAGCTGAACATTATGATAAAGATGAATCTAAAGTTGCTGGTTCGGGTACTTCCACTCCCCCATCTGAAGAGGTAGAGGAAGGCAAAGAACTTGAGCAAGACCAACTTGACACTTTATATAGCAAAGCTCAATCCTTTGATTTTAATGCTCCTGAAACTGAACCAGCAAAAAGTTTTGCAATGGATTTGCGACCATATCAAAAACAAGCATTGCATTGGATGATGGCGAAAGAGCGCGACGAGAAAGATAATAAGAGAGAAGCCTCGATGCATCCTCTGTGGGAAGAATACGCTTGGCCTTTGAAGGACATGGATGATAAAGAGGTGATTCAAATTGCTAATCAAGATAAATTCTACGTCAATCCATATTCCGGTGCACTTTCCCTAGACTTCCCTCTTCAGGAACAGCATTGTCTTGGAGGCATTCTTGCCGATGAGATGGGTCTAGGCAAGACTATTGAGATGATGAGTCTTATCCACTCTAGTAAGTCTGATGTGGCTATGCGACTCGATGAGAAACGCTCAAAGGCGACATCAGTAAACAGTTTGCCTCGACTTCCAGCCAATTCATCATCTGTAGAAAGGGCACCCTGTACAACTTTGGTCGTGGCACCAATGTCCCTTCTTGCTCAATGGCAAAGTGAAGCCGAAAATGCTTCTAGGGATGGAACCATCAAGAGTATTGTGTATTACGGTAGTGATAAAACAGCAAATCTTCAAGCTCTTTGCTGTGAAGCCAACGCTGCATCGGCTCCTAATGTTGTTATTACAAGTTATGGTGTCATTTTGTCTGAGTTCAATCAGGTTACTGCTAGGAACGGTGATAAGGGTGGTCATGGAGGTTTATTTTCGCTCTCGTTCTTCCGGGTAATTTTGGATGAAGCTCATTATATTAAAAACAGGCAGTCTAAAACCGCGAAAGCATGTAAGTCAATCTGGATATATTATGGAGCCAAAGAACAATAGCAATTGTCTTGTTATTGTTAACATTCTGTGAACCCTGACACTGACTGACCCAACTTTCTAGGCTACGAGATTGCAGCCGAGCATCGATGGGCACTTACTGGTACACCCATTGTTAATCGATTAGAAGATCTTTTCAGCTTGGTTCGATTTTTAAGAGTAGAACCTTGGAGCAATTTCTCTTTTTGGAAAACATTCATCACAATACCATTTGAATCCAAAGAATTTATGCGTGCCCTTGATGTCGTTCAAACGGTACTGGAACCTCTAGTTCTCCGTCGAACAAAAGACATGAAAACACCAAATGGTGAAGCACTAGTTCCTTTACCCAAAAAGACCATCGATATTGTCGAGATCGAGCTATCAGAAGCCGAACGCGAAGTCTATGATCACATCTTCACGAGAGCCAAACGTACCTTCTCAGCCAACATCGAAGCAGGCACAGTTCTCAAAGCCTACACAAGTATCTTCGCTCAAATCCTCCGACTTCGCCAATCATGCTGCCATCCCATTCTAACTCGTAACCAAAACCTAGTAGCAGATGAAGAAGACGCTGCTGACGCCGCAAACTCCGCAAGTGGTCTCTCAGACGACATGGATCTTCAACATCTCATCGAGCGCTTCAAGCTCAACGAAGAATCAACCGATACCAATACTTTCGGGGCACATGTCCTCGAACAAATCCGCGACGAAGCAGAAAATGAATGTCCAATCTGTTCGGAAGAACCAATGATTGAACAAACTGTCACCGGGTGCTGGCATTCAGCGTGCAAAAAATGCTTACTAGATTACATCAAACATCAAACCGACCGAGGTGAAAGTCCCCGCTGTTTTAGCTGTCGCGAACGCATCAATCCACATGATATCTTCGAAGTGGTAAAAGATGAAGGACATCCCGAAAGTAAACGTGGGAAAGTAAAAATAAGTCTCCAGCGAATCGGCTCCAATGGGTCGGCGAAAATCGCAGCTCTGTTGTCGAATCTCAAATCTATACGGAAAGAATCCCCGTCTATGAAATCAGTTGTGTTTAGTCAATTCACATCGTTTCTCTCACTGATCGAACCTGCTTTAACGAGATCCTCGATCCCATTTTTGAGATTGGATGGATCGATGCCGCAGAAAGCGAGAGCGGCAGTTCTCGCTCAGTACAAAGATAGTGAGGAAGGAATCGTGCTTCTACTTAGTTTGAGGGCGGGAGGAGTGGGGTTGAATTTGACGATGGCGAAGAGAGTTTTTATGATGGATCCGTGGTGGAGTTTTGCGGTCGAGGCGCAGGCGATTGATAGAGTGCATCGGATGGGACAGGTGGGGGAGGTGGTGGTTAAGAGGTTTATTGTGAAGGGGAGTGTGGAGGAGAGAATGTTGAGGGTGCAGGAGAGGAAGAAGTTTATGTGAGTTTTTTTTTTTTCTCTTTCTTTTTCTTCTATTCTTCGATCCTTTGGGCATCCTATTTGCTTTTGTCTCTCGGCAAGCATATCATATATCTATCTATCTGTCTATCTGTCTATCGTGTAAGACAAACTATCAGGAGCAAGACTAATATGCGAATAGTGCGAGTTCACTAGGCATGATGAGTGACGAGGAAAAGAAATTACAAAGAATCGAGGATATCAAGGAACTTCTCTCCTAAACATCATATTCTAAGTAAGGGATTATAACGGTAGCAAGCAAGCGAGGAGCCCTGGCATAGGAGATGCGAGGTGGATGGATGAGTAAAGAAGTCAAACGACAGACGAAGCAAAATATACTATCCGAAGAAGGGATACGCTATGTATATACATAGATAGCGTGTATATGGTATATGGTATCCTACTCCTATAGGTATATACGTATTTCCATCCACTGACTGCGTAGAGAAGCAATGGAACAGAATCGCATCAATATAAAATCCATATCCCTCATCTAGTCAAACAGATCATATATTATCATCACCATCACCATCAATATCATTATGATTATTGTTTTGTTATATATAGATATATAGATAGATCAAGTACGTATATATTCGTGTATGAATTCGAGTATACTCATCAGAGTATATATATATATGCGTGTTCATGTATACATACCTATCTGTGTATGAGTATCGATATACCTAAGATTAATACTAAACATCCAAGTACCCGAGTAAATGAACAAGTAGCGAAATGTAAATAGGAGTGAGATCCCCCTCTTGACTAGGCAGTAAGAGAAGATTCACAAAGTATCAATCATAACCGCGTCACAGGACTCAAAGAACATACAGATGTATCCTGAGACATTGGTTTTATTCCAATTCATTCAATTAAACAACTAATTAAGCAATACCACTTCTGTATGTCTATATCTAAGCAATTACTAATAACCCTACGTATCTTCTCTTCTCTTCTCTTCTCATCCACACAAGAGTAGAATTGTAGTCCCTTTTAATTATTTAATAAAAAAACTCCATTTTTGTTCCTTCCCATGCCATCCCATCCAGTTCATTTCAATTCACAAGCATAAATATATGCAAGTGAAGATCCGTCCATAATTTAGGGGGTATATCCGAACAAAGTACGCCTTTAGCCCAAAGCAAATATAAAGTCCCCTTTTTTTCCCAGATGCTCTATGCAAATGCATCTAATTTCCCAAACGCCGATAATTATCACATATTC